TCCATCTTCTCTACGAACTGGGCCCGAGTTACTTGTTTTAAAATACAGCAAATCCATCTTCTCTACGAACTGGGCCCGAGTTACTTGTTTTAAAATACAGCAAATCCATCTTCTCTACGAACTGGGCCCGAGTTACTTGTTTTAAAATACAGCAAATCCATCTTCTCTACGAACTGGGCCCGAGTTACTTGTTTTAAAATACAGCAAATCCATCTTCTCTACGAACTGGGCCCGAGTTACTTGTTTTAAAATACAGCAAATCCATCTTCTCTACGAACTGGGCCCGAGTTACTTGTTTTAAAATACAGCAAATCCATCTTCTCTACGAACTGGGCCCGAGTTACTTGTTTTAAAATACAGCAAATCCATCTTCTCTACGAACTGGGCCCGAGTTACTTGTTTTAAAATACAGCAAATCCATCTTCTCTACGAACTGGGCCCGAGTTACTTGTTTTAAAATACAGCAAATCCATCTTCTCTACGAACTGGGCCCGAGTTGCTTGTTTTAAAATACAGCAAATCCATCTTCTCTACGAACTGGGCCCGAGTTGCTTGTTTTAAAATACAGCAAATCCATCTTCTCTACGAACTGGGCCCGAGTTACTTGTTTTAAAATACAGCAAATCCATCTTCTCTACGAACTGGGCCCGAGTTACTTGTTTTAAAATACAGCAAATCCATCTTCTCTACGAACTGGGCCCGAGTTACTTGTTTTAAAATACAGCAAATCCATCTTCTCTACGAACTGGGCCCGAGTTACTTGTTTTAAAATACAGCAAATCCATCTTCTCTACGAACTGGGCCCGAGTTACTTGTTTTAAAATACAGCAAATCCATCTTCTCTACGAACTGGGCCCGAGTTACTTGTTTTAAAATACAGCAAATCCATCTTCTCTACGAACTGGGCCCGAGTTACTTGTTTTAAAATACAGCAAATCCATCTTCTCTACGAACTGGGCCCGAGTTACTTGTTTTAAAATACAGCAAATCCATCTTCTCTACGAACTGGGCCCGAGTTACTTGTTTTAAAATACAGCAAATCCATCTTCTCTACGAACTGGGCCCGAGTTACTTGTTTTAAAATACAGCAAATCCATCTTCTCTACGAACTGGGCCCGAGTTACTTGTTTTAAAATACAGCAAATCCATCTTCTCTACGAACTGGGCCCGAGTTACTTGTTTTAAAATACAGCAAATCCATCTTCTCTACGAACTGGGCCCGAGTGACTTGTTTTAAAATACAGCAAATCCATCTTCTCTACGAACTGGGCCCGAGTTACTTGTTTTAAAATACAGCAAATCCATCTTCTCTACGAACTGGGCCCGAGTTACTTGTTTTAAAATACAGCAAATCCATCTTCTCTACGAACTGGGCCCGAGTTACTTGTTTTAAAATACAGCAAATCCATCTTCTCTACGAACTGGGCCCGAGTTACTTGTTTTAAAATACAGCAAATCCATCTTCTCTACGAACTGTGCCCGAGTTACTTGTTTTAAAATACAGCAAATCCATCTTCTCTACGAACTGGGCCCGAGTTACTTGTTTTAAAATACAGCAAATCCATCTTCTCTACGAACTGGGCCCGAGTTACTTGTTTTAAAATACAGCAAATCCATCTTCTCTACGAACTGGGCCCGAGTTACTTGTTTTAAAATACAGCAAATCCATCTTCTCTACGAACTGGGCCCGAGTTACTTGTTTTAAAATACAGCAAATCCATCTTCTCTACGAACTGGGCCCGAGTTACTTGTTTTAAAATACAGCAAATCCATCTTCTCTACGAACTGGGCCCGAGTTACTTGTTTTAAAATACAGCAAATCCATCTTCTCTACGAACTGGGCCCGAGTTACTTGTTTTAAAATACAGCAAATCCATCTTCTCTACGAACTGGGCCCGAGTTACTTGTTTTAAAATACAGCAAATCCATCTTCTCTACGAACTGGGCCCGAGTTACTTGTTTTAAAATACAGCAAATCCATCTTCTCTACGAACTGGGCCCGAGTGACTTGTTTTAAAATACAGCAGATCCATCTTCTCTACGAACTGGGCCCGAGTTACTTGTTTTAAAATACAGCAAATCCATCTTCTCTACGAACTGGGCCCGAGTTACTTGTTTTAAAATACAGCAAATCCATCTTCTCTACGAACTGGGCCCGAGTTACTTGTTTTAAAATACAGCAAATCCATCTTCTCTACGAACTGGGCCCGAGTTACTTGTTTTAAAATACAGCAAATCCATCTTCTCTACGAACTGGGCCCGAGTTACTTGTTTTAAAATACAGCAAATCCATCTTCTCTACGAACTGGGCCCGAGTTACTTGTTTTAAAATACAGCAAATCCATCTTCTCTACGAACTGGGCCCGAGTTACTTGTTTTAAAATACAGCAAATCCATCTTCTCTACGAACTGGGCCCGAGTTACTTGTTTTAAAATACAGCAAATCCATCTTCTCTACGAACTGGGCCCGAGTTACTTGTTTTAAAATACAGCAAATCCATCTTCTCTACGAACTGGGCCCGAGTTACTTGTTTTAAAATACAGCAAATCCATCTTCTCTACGAACTGGGCCCGAGTTACTTGTTTTAAAATACAGCAAATCCATCTTCTCTACGAACTGGGCCCGAGTTACTTGTTTTAAAATACAGCAAATCCATCTTCTCTACGAACTGGGCCCGAGTGACTTGTTTTAAAATACAGCAAATCCATCTTCTCTACGAACTGGGCCCGAGTTACTTGTTTTAAAATACAGCAAATCCATCTTCTCTACGAACTGGGCCCGAGTTACTTGTTTTAAAATACAGCAAATCCATCTTCTCTACGAACTGGGCCCGAGTTACTTGTTTTAAAATACAGCAAATCCATCTTCTCTACGAACTGGGCCCGAGTTACTTGTTTTAAAATACAGCAAATCCATCTTCTCTACGAACTGGGCCCGAGTTACTTGTTTTAAAATACGACAAAGTTAACTGCTGAATGTTCCCGGTCAAAAATTAATTATAGTTTATATTAAAATATTGTCTATTGTCTATGTTTTACTATAATGCTGGGAGCCTTGTTGTAAATAATAGGGTACATACCATTCCTTGAAAGTCGTTATTTCGGAGTGAGCAATCATTTTGTTGACTAGCGAATCTAAATTGAAATAGTCGAATATCACTCAATTTCAGTTGCAGGTCGACATCCTTAAAATTAGAGAGCAAATAATTTTATTTTGTACTCTACTTCAGTCAATATAAATAGAAATTACAGCAATTTGAAGTAACAGCATATCAAGCTATATCATACATAATTATGAAAGCCTCGCAGAGATCTCGATTAAATCTGTAAACGTACATTTAACGGTAAGATATATAGATAGCGCGCAATATATAAGCGCACGCATAAAACCAATATGGCTGCCACACAAAGCTACAAACTGGAACAAGAAATGAAAATTGTGAATTCAACCAGCTTGGATACTATTATCCAACGCGACATTGGTTTGAGCGCATTATCGACACGTTTTAAATGCGCAGAACATGTTTGTGCGCGGCACTAGCATTTTAAATTTTCAAAATTCAAATCATAGCCAGAGTTATGGTTATTTTTCAAGACAAATTTTGAGGCAAATTTTACGTGTAAATTATCCATTTTTCATTCATGATCACTCATAATTTGAACAATTTACCTTGGATTGAATTGAACTCTTCAGTATTCGATGATTAAAACAATTGTTTTAAGAACAGAGTAGTTTTAAAGCTAAACATTCGCAATTTGTCTTAACAGGAGTCTTGGGAGAATTATAAAAATGAAATTTAAACGTTTTAGCGGCGCATGAAGCCCGCGGCGTTCGCTGGGGTGTAGACGCCCTGCAAAGTTTCAGATCTCTAACTCAATTTTAACATGGTTTTTAAGGCACCTGAATATGGCGATTTTGGGTTTTTTACCTAATTTCGTATAACATGCTGGCGCGTATTTTGCGCAAATTTCTTAAAAACCTCCACATAACTATTTCTTATTCCTGTCATCTTTAACATTGAATTAGAATGTTTTGAACTTAAATATACCTGCTGAATTACTTTCGATGAATCTTAATGCCTGGAAAACAATAAAGGGGATATAATAGTATAGGGGGTAAATAGTGTTGTGAATATAAGGGCAACGGTTATGCTTGCCAGCATTGTGATATTATATTTATGTTCATAGACATAATCGAATAAAGATTACGAGGAATTACAGGCTGAGCGCCACTCAGTAAGTAAATCCCGGTGTGCTGTGCGCGTTGACGATGTTACTCGTCTAAATTTCTTTGTCCATTGTTAATTATAATGGACTAGCCCGGTGCGTGCTATACTACTTCGCGTTCGTAGCACTTTCCTCGGGCCATTTCTAGAAGAAAGCTGAAAGCGGCGCACGCTGCCTCGAAGAAATTTAGACGTGTAACATTTGCTACACTATTAATAATGGACAACTAAACTGCATTTGACCATTGTTAATGGTCTGGCCCGGCGCGCGCTACTTCGTAGCACTTGCCGTCGGGCCATGAACATTTCGAAGAAATTTAGACGAGTAACATCCGTCAACTAAACTGTGCGCGGTGCTCTTTTCAAGCTTCCTGAAGAAGCGAGCAATAGACTAACAAGCTATGTACAGTAAATCACAATCTAGCAATTGCAATTTGTGGGTTACGACTTACGTCCATGGTCCAATTTTAGGTTTACAGTTTAGTCTGATCCTGGCAAAACTTTGGACATACAATGAAATCCGTGACCAGATTAAGGTTTTTGACCCTGATTGGTGTGGTTTGGAATAAATCGCGTCGCATTATGCTACCCTCTCATATCGGCCAGATGTTCGTTGTGTTTGAATTAAACAATTGATCTGAAGTAATATTAAGTAATAAACGAATTACCTGGGGACCCCAGGCTATTATGTTCATAAACACAAACGCCGAATAAAGATTCGGCGGAATGACAGGCTGAGCGCCGCGCAGTAATAAACGAAGTGAAACTAAGATATTAAGACCTCGAGGGGTAAATCAGTCAGTTAACCATGTTCATAGCAAATGAATTCACTATAGCAAACTTGTGCTGTTTATTCAAGGTATACCACAACTTAAAATCTTTATAATTCATATAAAAGTTGAGTGATATGCAAGATGATTTAAGAAGGAATGAAATAATTCCATACTTCTGAGAAAAATTAGCTTCAAAAATGCGTTTCTCTTCAGATAAACATTTTTTACATAAAAGCAAGATCAGGAAACAAAAATCACCCACAATTCACGATACGTTACAAAACGAAAACGAGAAACAATTACAATAATCTTACGAACGGACTCAATTCATATTCAAATACAAAATATGGATAACCATCTTCTTATCAGCAAATAAATTTCCACTCTGCCGGATGACAAATGTTCATGTCAGAAACATTATCAATTATCAATTTACTGGGCAGCTGTTGTGGACAGAGAGAATATAAAGGACATCGTGTCTGGTTTGCGTCTTCACCGAGATCTGGATCTGGCCCTGGACCTACTTCTGGACCTGGAGCTTGCACTGGAACCGCTTGCGGAGGAGGAAGAGGACGAGGAAGATCTGCTGGAGCTGTAACGTTTCCTGCAAGTAGGGGGTGTAAACTTCAGGGTATTCTGGGGTGAGTGAGTCAGAAGAGAAAATAATCGGTTATATTGTTGCTGAATGTGATATATATTGTGAATGAGGTAAATGATCAAACAACTTTGAAACTTTAAAATTGCAGCGGTAAAAATAAAATCATGCTTTATAATAGTAGGATATAACCTCGAAAAGGTGAACATAAGTTGTCTGTTTAGGGTGTTTATATGAGTATCTTTCAATAACTCAAGATTTAGGTAAATTTTGAAGAAAGGCTCAGCTTTTGTGGGTAAAATTTATGAATTGTGATTACCTTATCGGCGTTGTCGGGCGGAAATTCGACATTTTAAGAATTATTAGAAGTTGAGCTGAAACCAATTCAAATGATAATTTGTTAATTTTGTGGGCCTTTTTCTTAGAAACGCTGTCTGCAGTTTGAGTTAGTTAGCTATTTTGGTTGGTTCGGGCCGATAAGGTTATAAATCTCTTCATGCAGCTTTCAAGTGAATTTTGAGTGAAAGTTATGGACAGATGTTCGAGATTTCAGAGGCGTTGCTTTCGATTAGGGTTTCCAATCAATGATATCAAAACAATTCACATATCGTCTGGGAGGCTTCTCTTGCAATCTGATAACAATAATACCAATTAGCCGAAAATCATAATTTTATATTCCGACAGCGCGAAAGTTACGACATAAGCTTACAAATTTTACAAATTTTACTGATTGGCAAGTCGAAGTCCCATCTGAAAATGTACACACAAAAGTTAAATCGATAGGAAACCCTACGCCCAATTACATGAGAATTGAAACTGCGTGTATGATAAAACGTACAATGAATATATAACGTTACTTTAAAACATATTATCATAGTTTGTTTGGTTCTATATTTAACTTACACATCGGTTGAATAGCTTTAATTCACCTGAAGTATTCGGTATCACATGCCCGATCGCGTACTGATCCGCGTTGATACAATACGACACAATATAGCGGTAACAAGACGATATTCGCAATAAAATAACCAATAATCATACGACAATAGAATCAATCAATGCTAAACACAAAGGCATGTACTTAAAATATGATTTAGGGATTGTGAAATGGGAGAAAATTAGAATAATCAATTCATGGCAATTATCGGTGGGGGAAGAAAATGAGATTGTTCTGAAAATCGAGCTGGTAAGAGAAAACGACAGAGGACAATTCACCACAAGTTTCAAGACGTAGGACAACCAGAAAAGGCCACAAATTACATGACAACACTTAACAGTTGTGACAGATTTTGAAATCGCTGTAACAGAAGCAGATTTAAAGCCCAGCAAGTTAATATCAAAAACAGCCTTTAATCGGCTGCGGGTAGATTCCTTTTAGCGGCCAAAGATTCCGGGGACTGACAATTAACGACTGTAATCATAGTCAGATTGAAATTTTGAAAAGAATCGATCTTAAAGCATTACTATGCTTACGTTACAAAGTTTTATAGGCAGTGTAAAGAATCTACCGATTGAGAAAAAGGCTGACAGAGAACAATCATCAGACAAGCTGGCACTACCAGTACTGGCACCACCGGTACAGTATGGAGAAGAAGAGAATATAATTACCTATCCCTCGATCTTCTTCTGGGTGAACGTGAACGTCTCCCTGACCTTGACCTGGATCTTCTGTCTCTTGAACGCCTGTCCCTGGACCGCGATCTCCGATCTCTTGACTTAGATCTCCGACGGGGAGAACGGGAACGGTTCCTCCTCGAACGATCACTGCTTCTACTTCGGGATCTTTGCCTTCTGTAGGTTGCACTGTGAATGTAATGATATCAAAGTGATATCACAACATATCTAAACAGGAAAATGGTGAAAACAGAAGAAAGTGATCCAAAGTGGATATTGTTTTGTGAAATACCTGTAACTATATTCGCGTCTACTCCTCCCATTGTTATAATTACTGCCTCTACTCGGCTGTCTGTTGTAATCATTACTTTTTGCTGTAAATGTTTCTCTGTCCATTGTACCTTCTTGCTGGAGACTCTTGTCGTCCACCAATTTCTGGGGTAAATTCAGATTTATTGATCCAAATCAATCTTGGAAATTTAAAATTCACAAGGAGTTTGTGTGATAAATAACGAAGTGAACAGGCAGTTACATTTAACTGGTTTAATATTCTTGAAGGTTACCTCGAGGACATTGCGTTTTTCTCTGATTTGAATAAAACCCATGTGTAGTTTACCTCCGAAATGGTCAGCTAACCTAAAAATTAAGTGACATTAATTGGGAACAGGATAACAATTTTGAACTCAAAACGAACAAAATCCCACTGACGATGGTGAAAAGCCATTTTTGTGAGCTGTTTTTAGAGATCACGCTTAGGAGTTCAAGTTTGCTTCATAAATGCTGAATCGAAAACATTTCACATCCACCTCCCCTTCCCACATATAACAGCATGCTATTCCAAAAGCTTTCATCGAAACGTTCGAGCTGAATGATCGGCCATGACATGTTATCATGTTATAAAGCCTAACCAGTTTAACTTCTCTGAATTCAGAACCGATGGGATCGGAATCTTATCTTAAGTTATGAGAATATATCCTCGAACCAGCACATGTTAAACCCAACAGTCAACATTTTTGCACTTTCACTTTTGGAACACCTAACCCCCCAAAGGAAAACATTATATTTGCGTACACTTGAGCAGTCTTTTGAGATTTGCTGGCAGCTACGACTGCCTTGCCCACAGCGTTGCAGTGATCGTCAAGTGTTATCCCAGGCGCGCACTTGGAGAGCGAAGTGTCGACACCCAACCCCACGTTTACACGAGGCCCCCCAATACTGCGGAGAGAGAGGAGTGCGTTAGACTTCGGTTATACTTCCAACAACAAGAATATTACGTTCACTCAAGTTACACTGACAATGTGACACGCATATAGTAGGCTAGGTATCATGCTCCCCAGGGCCAGGGCTAGGTATTGTGCTCCACCAATTTTGGTCTAATTTGGTGTGCGAAGCCTCTTCAGGCGATGATATATTTTTCAATGTCAAGGGAGCTGATTCAAGTATGCAAGGAGCAAAACCTGCCCAGGCAAAGTCACGGGCCCAGGAAAACGGGAAATTTGTTGTTGTTGGAAGTGGAAGTCTAGCGAACTACTCACGTGCCACATTGTCAATGTTTTCATCTCATACCTGTCATACCCAACATACCTTCTGTCATTGTCGTAGAGGCACAGATAAGCCGCGCAAATTTCACAAACGCGCAGTTTCTGTTGCTGTAGCTGGGGTTGAGGGAGGTTGTTTCGGTATTCCTCCTGAGAGTTTCAAGTTAGAGAAGAAAAGGTGGTTAGGGCCCAGATAATCACCTATACATTTATATTACACAGCAAATAACGACAGTGCGAGCGGATGTGTTCTTCCAGAGGCTAGCCTGAATCCGACCAATGCAATCACGTTGGGTACGGTAACGTACGTGCGTAAACAAAGTGGCAATTTAGCGCTTTGTACAACGCGCGCACGAAATTGTGCTAGTCGAAAAAGCGAACATTTACGCAAATATGTCCCATTCAACAGTTCACATTTAACAATACTACGCACCTTGAAGATCATACATACCACCGAAGCTAAGATGCCTAATAATAAAATGTACTAATGCAATTGTGCTGCCAGCGGTTCAGGACCTTGACAAAACATAGCGAAATTAAGAAAAGATATATCACCTAGATGATTTTAACAAAATCTCCAAAATGAAAAAGAAATCTTTTATAATTATATTAGATCTGATATTCCGTAGTAAAAGTACAAAGTTATTGTTGAATTTGCCATCCAAATCATGCAAAATAGAAACCAACTGTTTTTCGCGATTTCGATCATCAAATAAAAATCATTTAGTTTGGATGGCAGTTCATGTAAAATGTTTCAGAAAACTCACGGACAAAATGCTATTAAACGATTTCCATCTTAGATAAGTAGGTAACAGACGCCCTAAATTTTACACAGTTTAGGCAAAGGTAAGCTGAGATCTTCAAGCATCAAGGAAACGGTAAAAAGACCCACCATTTCAGTTAAAACTATTCATTGTAATTAGTTGGAAATTTCTACAAAATTTGTCCTAAATGACAAATTAATCTTGTGAATTACCTCAGCTTGACGTTTTTCTGATTTGAGTTTCTCAATTTCTGTCAGCAGGGCCACGCTTTCGTCGACGTTACCCTCGTTTCCTGAAATGGGAGAATAAAATAATTGTAAAGTTTGGAGATAGGGTTCTAGTTGGGGTTGCTGGTTGGCAAAGTGACAATAGTGACTAGATGTTTGACAGCTTATTTAGAGAAATTAAGTTTTAAAAACTAAGTCTAAGTTTGAATTCGTACAAGAGGGCATAGATTGTTAAAGACCTTAAAAAATTAGACGGCAAAATTGCTCATAGTTTTGACCATATATGGTATATCCATTATCTTGGTTACTGGTCTTACCATTAGGTAATGAATAAGAGTTGCCGGCCTAGGTTAGAAAGCCTTTTATGTTAGATACAGATAATCTCTTTAAGAATTACATAAAACAGTACTTATATAATAATTTGGTGGAGAAATGTTGTTGTTGTTCATCCGGGCAATGCCCGCGGATCTAATGACCATCTACAAAAATATCTGACAGTAATATTGCCTTCCTCCAATCTCCATCCACTAACATGAACAGAGTTCACTACAGAACTAGATATTAAAATATTTCCCTAACAGCACTGACTCTAGACCGTACCTGTCATTGAGTCGGCCAGACTTTCACACATTCCCACAAAGTGTCTGGGAGAATGCCAGCTCGAGTTTTAATAAGTACAAGACGTCAAGCTCAACATGTCTCCACAGGTTAAGTAATTTCAAGTGCTGAGTTTATTTCAGGTGGAATGGAAATTTTCCCAAAGTTATTTTGTCAAGTGATGAAAAAAGTTGTCATCGTGTTTTTCATTTGCTTGGCTCTGAAACGAGACGGGAGACCCAGTTATTATTCTTCTTATTTTAGCAATGAGAAGTTGATGGTGTTTGTGCTAATTCCTTTATGAAATGATGGGCTGGGAGAGTCAGTACCAGAGGAAAGTTAAATTAAATTTTAACGAGTCCTAGGTAAATCATGGACTGAACCACGGCTGCAAATTATATTATGGTTTCGAGCTGTTTAGCGTCGTTTCACGGCTGGGCTAGCTAAAGACCAAGAAAGTATTATTAGGCCAAATCAATTCGGGACATCACTGGGCTGTCTCATCTGACTATCTATAAATAAACCTGTTAATCATGAAGCTGTCAATCATATCCACTCTCGGATCAAGTTGTGACTTCATTAATAATCAGGTACCTGACTTTATTCGGAATAATCTGGTCGGTTCAGGTCATGTGCAAGAGACTGAAAGCTTCAGAGCAATCAATTAGTGACACTATAATTAGTGACACTGTAATTTACAAAAGAATCCATTTACTGAGATTCTGCTTAAAAGAAGTTACCAGGAATAAATTATTTTGCCTCTATAAAAAACCTAAATACTTATTTTACTTCGGTTTACCAAAACAGCCATTACGTTGCAATGTAACCGACAAATCACATGAGCCGAAGGTACAATTAGAATTAGGCCAGAGACGGTTAAGGAACGTAGTCTATACTTTCTTCGCCTGAGGCTTCGCTACGATGGACATAACCCAACATAACCTTCCTATCCCAATTATGTGACAATTGATGTAATATAAGAAGCTGAAGAGAATTAGTAACCTGACTGCTAATTACTTGTCGAATATATAATTCCTTCGTAAGTGAGACATGTAATTATTGTATATGTGTACACAATGTAATATGATCCGTCTCACCAATTAATAGTAGAACTGTGACTGTGTAAAAGGTTACATTATGATGTAAACAAGGAATTTACCCAATTTATACCCGATGTATAGTGAAGACCCAATGCAATGTATGTGCCCAATGTATATAGATTATAGATACATTCTTCATTCTTATACAGTTATACTAGTAACTAAAATAAACGAAACACAAGAATGAAATGAATTACCAAGTTGTTCAGCTTTGGCGAGTTTCTGTCCGATCTGTTCAGCAATATCGTGCACTTTGTTTGCCCTTGATTCACTTTCGGGGTCTAGTTCCTGATCCTCTAAACGTTTCTTTGCTGCTTCTACTTTGCGATCACACGTTCTTAAGAAGTCATCCAGCAATGCTAGTGCCTGAAACAGTTAGGTTAGTAAGTTAGTAAGGAGTTTTTAAGAAACAGTGCAAAAAACTAATGCCTATTTTTAGCTGTTACTGTGTACTGTGTATGTTTACTGTATATGTAATGTTTGTATCGAGCTCAATAATAAGCGACATGGTTGGATCATTTCGGAAAAGTTACCTCTTTCTCAAATCCATAGTTCTTTTTCTTGTTTGCTTCATCAAAATCAGCTCGAAGTGCTTCAGAATGAACCTTTGGACACTCCCCCAGATCCATTTTCTGAAAGTCTATGAGTTAAACTTTGAATTGTTACAAAATTGAGAATTTATGACACGATTATTAGCTACAGAAATGATTATGCATGAATACCTTACTCGGGATTATTATAACCGGGATAAAGTGGTGGGTTTTGGAAGATTCCGCCATATTTTTCCCGGTCAAAAATTTTACCAGTCATAAAAAAACCCGCCGACTCAGATTATGGGGTTCCAAGGGGGTGGTGATCATCATATTTTACCTGAAGTCTCATATGTGCTAGAGAAGACTTTTGAAGCAGTGGATGGAGGGCTGTAACTTTATTGGCGGTTGCTACCATAATTTCGTTATAAAAATCACAATTTGGTTATAGAAATCAGATTTCAGGGTGGACCGTGATTCTCACTTTTCTTGCCCATGAAGTGAGTAAACTGTGCCACTATTTCATGGTCCACGGTGGATTGATTACTGGAGCAGTTGAAGATGCAAAGCCAAGACGTTCCCCAATACCAAGCGGTGGGCAGGAAATTAAGCTCCGGCTGACCTTCAGAGCAGTAGCCCCATTAGCGGACAAAATGAAAGTCTTGTTAAGACAACAATACATACATACATGCTACATGAAGAGGTCTCCTCCTAGTCGTTGGAGTGGCCTGCATCACACACATCTCTTCTACGGCGTAACATGTTCCTCCATTCCACTCGCTTTAGAGCCAACTGTTTTACTGCATCTCTGCTGATGTTATCGACACCTGTAAATTCAGCCGCATCCTCGAGTACACAGGCCATCCAGCCTTTGCGGGGTCGTCCTCTCAGTCTCTTTCCATAGTTTGGTTTCCAATCCAGTAAGAAATTGGGAAACCGCGTCTCTGGCATTCTGACAACATGTCCGTACCACCTTAGTCAAGCCACACCGATGAAAGTTTCGATAGACTTAATTCCAGCACGCCTGAGAACTTCTTCATTGGAGACATGGAAGAACCACTTTATCTTCAAGATTCTTCTCAGGGAGGTCAGATGGAAGACCTCAAACCGTTTCATCTGCTTCTTTGTTGTGTTCCACACTTCGGCTCCATATAACAGAATAGTAATAACAGCAGCCTTGTAGATACGGATCTTGGTGGGCGTTCTTATAGTTCGACTGTTCCATATCTTCCAAAGCTGATGGAACGCACCATTAGCACGCTGGATCCTGATGTCAAGATCTCGGTCAATGGTACCATCCCCACTGATGTTGGCACCAAGATAAACAAAGTTGCTGACCTGTTCAACAGGTTCTCCCTCCACTGTTAGCTTTATACTGTCTCTTTCGGTGTAAGGTCGCTGGGACGCACACTCGCTGATCGCCATGCATTGTGTCTTTTTAGCGTTGATCTTCAACCCAGCATAAGAGGTGTAATAAGCTATAAGATCAGTGGACTCTTGCAGCCCTTCTTCAGTATTGTCCATCACTGCCAGATCATCAGCGCAGTCACTGTCCATGATAACTTTTTCGTCTGCACCCTTTAGTTCCTTTTGCAGTACAGCACCATGACTGATTGCCTTGTGAACCTCGGCCAAAAAGATTCCAAAGTTCAGACAAAAATTAAATACAGGGGGGCCCTGGATATCACCCTGTCCAGTGCCCGAATTAACAGAGAACCAATCAGACATTTCACCATTAACCCTGACAGCACTCATGGTTCCGTTGAAGAATGCCTGAAAGATTCTAACATATTTCTCAGGAAGTCCATAGTGTCTCATGCTTGACCAAATAAACTCTCTTCTGATGGAATCAAACGCTGCCTTAAAATCAATGAAATTAACATAAAGTGGAATGTTAAACTCAATGCAGTTGTGAATAATGGTGCGGATGGAATAAATCTGATCAATACATGAGCGGTTCCGTCTGAACCCACACTGATTTTCCCTAAGAAGACACTCCATTCCAACATCCAGCCTCTTAAGAAGAACCATTTGAAGAACCTTAGAAGACGTTGCCCTAAGAGTTATACCCCTATTATTGCAGCAGTATGAAGTGTCTCCCTTCTTTCCGATAACCACTATAACACCTTTAAGCCAATCCTCAGGGATCACCTCTTCCTCCCATACCTTTTTAAACAGTAGCTCTAGTTGGCCAACAAGAGCACTTCCACCATACTTAAGTTGTTCATTAGTTATCTCATCAACCCCTGCACTTTTGCAGTTCTTCAGTTTCTTTAGAGCATAACTAATCTCATCTCTAGAAGGAGGTCCATCAGAACAAGAAAGGTAGTCAAAACTCGGTTGTGAGGGCACACCATCGAGGTCATCAAGATTGGCATCCGATAGTGGAGGATTTAAGAGCTCAGTAAAGTGCTCTTTCCACCTTTCCTTCTGACTGTCCGGGTCTGTAATAAAATGACCATCCTTATCCCTAACTGACATACCCACTTTCTTTTTCTTTTTCCCAGAAATCTTCTTTATCTTATCCCAAACTTCCCTTTGCTGGCCTTTCTTAGAAGCCTCCTCTAGATCAGTCGCTATTTTAGTAGCCCAGTTGTTGTCGTCAATTTTACAACTTTTCTTAACTAATTTATTAAGTTTAGAGTAGGCTGATCTATTGACGTTTGAAGACAACAATACAACAATACAACTTCGAATTTGACGGTCAGCAGCAGGGGGATATCAATAATGATAATGGAGGGGACATTAGCGATACTGAGAATGAGAATACGCTTTAATGAAGATTTGACTTATTATTGCTATAGATTTATTTTCCTTCAAATACTAGACGTGTCTTTTTTTCTATTTATGAGTAATATCAGTAACTGTAAATTGAAATAACTTCTTTAACAAGTAACAAAAACGGAAATTTCGGTTGAAAATTTGTTGACCTCTGAAAAAAAACTTGAAAGGTCGGCCACCGGTAAATACATGACCGGGATAATTTGGCGGGTTTTGGGAAATTCCGCCATATTTTTCCCGGTTATTAATTTTCCCAGTCATAAATTAACCCGCTATAATATTCCCGAGTAAGGTATGTAAAATGTAAATATCATCAGATCTCGTATAAAATAACTTTATGTTATTAGTTCAGTATAAATCCTACATAATGAATAGACAACTAGAATTTCCTGTGCCTACAACCAGACATATTACACAAAAAAGCCCAAAAACCAAACAAACCGTATTAGTAAAGAGAGTATGAGGGCAGAGACCGGTCATAAAGGCCCTGCACACAGTGGGGTCAGTAAAGTGTACTCCAGCTGACTCTGGGTTACCTGTGAGAATTAGAGGTTAGTGTGGGTTAACTGTGGCAAGGTGCCCGGAAGGTTGCAGTTTACTGTGTTTTAAACTTCTTAATGACATTAAGATTGAAAAAATTCTTTGTTCGTGATCAAGGCTCGGGGTCACGAATCCTGACCCAGTGCTGGCCGGCGCTCGTTTCTAAATTATATTGCATTATACATATTCTAATATTCTCATCTAGCAGAATTAGGAAGGTGAGTTTAACTCATTACTAGATCAGTACAACCTAATTCTGTGTGAAATACTATTAACGGAGATTCTATTAATGGGGGGCATGACACGTCTCGAATGTCTCTTGTCTTTTTTGAAAAGATAGGGTGCGGAGACGTGCCCTGGAGACATTGGAGACATTGGAGACACAGCTTTTGGAGACATTGGAGACATTAGGGACATTGGAGACATTGGGGACATTGGAGACACAGCTTTTGGAGACATTGGGGACATTGGAGACATTGGGGACATAAAATGGATATTAGGGGCATTGGAGACATTGGAGACACAGCTTTTGGAGACATTGGGAACATTGGGGACATAAAATGGATAGTAGGGGCACTGGGGATATTTTGAAGTTTGTGTCTCCAGTAATCAACGTATCCCTTCTATTCATTTTCACCAAGTTTTGTAGAAATTTATAACAAAGGAGACAAATTGCTCTATACTAACAGTAACTAGTAGGGATCACACAGACAGACAAGAATCTTTTAGTTATTGATTCCTTGAGGAATCAAGAACTAGGGATACGTTGATTACTGGAGACATAAACTTCAAAATATCCCCAGTGCCGTGCCCCTACTATCCATTTTATGTCCCCAATGTCTCCAAAAGCTGTGTCTCCAATGTCTCCAATGCCCCTAATATCCATTTTATGTCCCTAATGTCCCCAATGTACCCAATGTCTCCAAAAGCTGTGTCTACAATGTCCCCTATGTCCCCAATGTCTCCAATGTCTCCAAAAGCTGTGTCTCAAATGTCCCCAATGTCTCCAATGTCTCCAAAAGCGGTGTCTCCAATGTCTCCAATGTCTTTGTCTTTTTCGAAAAGATAAGGTGCGGGAGACATTGGAGACATGTCATCCCCCCCCCCCCCCCCGCCCATTAATAGATAAGAAGTAAGAACTGGAACTCACCATCTCTACCGGATCCCATGAGCTGGTCTAACATCTTCCTCATCTGTTCCTGAGCAGTCATCCTGTCTGCTGAACACAAATCATGTTACAACAACAGGTACATTATACCAACATTATCAAGGTAACTCATTACTAGCCGTGGCTGTATACACTTCAAACAAATCAAATCAAATCAAATCAAAATATAATGACACAAACATCATCACACATCATCAAAAATATATCTACTAAAGTTTTAAAATTATCTTAAATCTATTGTGCTAAACAACCAAGTTAAAATGAATCTAATTTACATACTTTCCACTACTATATAAGTTGATGAAGCGTTTTTTAGCAACATGAGGATTATACACAAGATATTCATTGTGCTTCTCTTTATTAGTAGCATAATTTAATCCCTCAATCTTTCCTAATACTTCGTCTGTAACATACCAAAAATGACTATCATTTACAGATCCGTTTAAGATAGTCTCTTTTTTGAAAGCCTCTAATCTTATTTTAAAACTTAACACAGTACCACAATTCTTGACATCCGAGGGGAGTTTGTTCCAATATGGTCTCACCCTCTCCGGAAGAAAAGAACTGTGGACTTTCTTCATTTTACTGCTACTTTTACTGCATCTACTGTTTGATACCACATTAAGAGCAGATCTGCTCATACTGAACAAACCAGCTCCGTAATTGGCCAAACCACTTATCATTTTAAAAGATTCAATGAGGTCCCCACGTATTCGCCGCTCTGCCAGCGTTGTTAAATTGAGGATTTCCAGTCGACACTAAAACTTACTGATCAATAATCGCAGAACAACAAATCACAAAACTCATCTATCGGCAAGATAAAGCCTTATCAAGCCTTGATTATACGAAAATTATTATACGACAATAAAACAAGTAACAGCAGAAATCAACAGTAAAAAATAGAAAAGGCTTCGCACAGTGGGCCACCATGCTACAATAGACGAAAAATTGAGTTCTTTTAAAAGGAATTAAGTAAGTTTTGTATTGCAGTAAAAAATCTTGGCTATTAGATGCAAAAAACCATAATTGAATTGATTAAATGGCTTTCGCGCAGCGCGTCGGCGAATTTACGAAATTTTTTGACTGCCAATTTTTTGACTTTAGGCAGTCAAAATTGGCATAACCCATCATTATATTTCTAAAATTGGCTTAAAACACCGTATATTGACTCCTAATCAAGGTGAAAGTACTCTCTTTGCTTCAATTCATGCAAAAAACCATGTAATCATATCATTTAAGCTGAATTTTTGGCACGCACTCAATTTTAGGCCTCATTTTTGACTAATTTTTGCTTAAATTTGGCCAAAAAAAGTTTATTTGCCTCAGGTTGCCCCACTAATGCATGGTACCATCTGAAAGCTCAGACGATTCTCTAAACAATGGTAGAAGAACTGTTCTGGGGTTTTTTGGGGCTTTTTCAGAAAAAAATTCCAAAGTTGAAAAAAGGCCCAAATTTGATGGAATTTAGACTTACCTTGCAGATTTGAAAAAAAATTATTTTTTCTCAAACAAACCCCATTTTGAACATCTTTCTTGGCTCTCAATGTCGTGGCCTGGTGCAATGAGGTTATGGGGTACTAAAAAGTGGTCTGTTTTGGAAATATCATCAAAAAATGCTATTTTTCTGGAATTTTACTGGTATTTTCTGACAATTTCAGAAATTTCTGGCATTCGCGCCCAATTTTTTGGTTTCAATTTGACATAACTTTGGCTACGATCAATATTTTTTCATAATTCAAAAACTAAAATGATCAATAGCCTCAGGACTATCAATTTAAAAACATTCTAAACACATTCAACGATTATCTTTAGCAAAAACTCGAATTGGATGCCTCTAGACCTACATTTCAGCCATGAAAAATTTCTATGGAATGAGCCAAAAAAATTTTTCTGTGACTTATAAAGGACTAAAATTTGTTTAAAAATCAATATTCAACTGATTTGAAGTAAAAAATAATGTTTGAAATGATCTAAATTGATCACTGATGGTCTATTACAGTATGACCCCCTATTCTGGCCCACTGTGCTTCGTGAGCAGCATCATCATGGTTGACGGCCAGCTTGGAATCAAACTTAACAAACAAGATGTTCTAGACGCTGTTGCTCTAAGATGTGATGAGTGCATAACAAACATACCACAATTTTGTGGCTGCGAAGGAAAGAATCAACCATTCGGCCACAAATCTTCGCAGTTTAAAACAATTAAATTTTCGACATTCATTGTGACATTACCAGTCTAACTGCTCCCGTTGGTCAACTATTAACAAGTAAACTACAAAATATGATGTGCATGTTCAAAGCTTGCATAATTTCCTAAAGCGTGCCATGTGAAACACCTAACGAACTGTAGATGCAAATAATAATGGTTTAAACAAGGAAATTGTCAGAGCATAACTGGGTTCGTGTAATGCGACGGAGTACCATTTAACCAAGGTAGCTGATTAAGCAATTGTTATTATAATTGAACAATTATAAAACTGACAAACTTCAATATAAAACAAAGTAATCTATATTTGAAACAAATTACGGACTTAATATCATTGTAAAAGAGAAACTGATATCTAGTCTGGCAAAGTTGAATTTAAGTGAGTTGTTAAAATTTACAACTGGTCACGTATTTTATTATAACGATATTAATAATTAATTATAACTCGTGCAAGTCCGAAATGGGCCGTGTGCTGCTTCTAGGAAGTACATATGACAGTGCATATCAGCACACTGTTGGCTTTCTTAGAGACCTGATGAGAACCAAGCGGAAATCATGATTGCCTGGTAAGCAAGTTCACGATATTACATATAAGAAATCCGAACACAAAAATTAGGCTAGAGCGACATGCAGCGCTCGATTTCACAATACACTGCTGAAATTTTATCGACGCGCGCGTTGTAAATTTTAGATTTCATTGTTCATTAAATATGAAAGTAAAGTAAATTAAAGTTTCTTATATCGAGCTGCACATTCTTCTGTATCGTTTGTAATAACCCATATAGAGTTCATGAGTAGTATCAAGGCTGTCTATCGTACGCGTCAATCGTTTAACAAATTGTATATCGTATGTATAGTATTGTAGCGCAAGTTATTATTGTTGACCATTGTATTGACCGAGCCGCGCTCAAATATGATATTTTTTGTTTAAAAATTTTTATATTTACCAAAATTTTCTGCTATGCGCTAAATTTTGTTCCATTTTATGAAAATGTATTTAGCAATCGGCTGGCGCACATTATGAGGCGAAACCTAAACTAAAATCAACAAAGATTTACTAAACTAATATAGTCCTGCACGAGCTTTAAAGATCTTACTTGTGTTAAATCTTGATTGCGTGCAGTACTGCGAACTGTACTGCTTTTTAAATCAAAAATGAAGAAAAGATTGACATTTTCATTCAATTCACAAAAAATGAAATGTAAAATTACCACTGTAGATTTTTGAAGGACGCCGCGCGTATTTTCATGCCAGCTTCGTTTCGAGATTGCAGATCAGAGCAACTACCTAAAAAGATTAAAATCGTTAATCAAGGTAAATAAATAAAATTCATTTAATAGTTTGATATTCAGTTTAAACAGTAATAGCACAAACCTGAAAAATCATCACACATGGTGTTTTATTATATATATTATTATTTTATTATATATATTATATCTATGTTCATAATTCATAATAATAATTCATAATACATATAATCGAATAGAGATTTTGCAGAATGACAGGCTGAGCGCTGCCTAGAAAATAAAGGCCAAAACTGCTCCTTGCTGACTGCAGTGGGCAATCAAACTGTGCTTTTGTTAGTAGAGCATATTGGGCTATACTGGTTCTAACAAGTTTATTATCGGATGTTTACTTATATTTATTATGATATTATTATTCATTGTAATGGCAATAAATTAAAAATTTCCTTAAATTTTTTTTCCATATCATCTGAAAGTCTATTTTCCAATTTTTGAGATTTTAATTTTCAATTTTTGGCAGACACAACATCAAAACTTTTTTCTTAATCTAATTTATTGGTTTGTATAATGTTCGCATATTTGATATTGTTTGGATATTGTTGACGGTGTGTAACTTTATAGCTGGACTATAACCATTGTTTTGAGGTCTCCTAGATTTGTTTATGTAAATTTTGTAGATATTTTACTGTACTATTTTATATTGTATACAATTTTACGGACGAAATGATCCCAGGGGGGACTCCCAACCCACCGCTTCGGCGGGTAGTTGATGCACCGATCACAAGCAAGAGCCACTTTGGTCAACTTGCTGTGAGGTGTCTCAGCTACATGGGTTGGGGGTCCCCCCTCATTTTTTTAAAATTTTTTTTTTATAACCATTGTTTGACAAATTATGTGTTTATACTGCACTGTCTGGATTCAGTGGCGTAACAAATGCAAGTGCCCTTTTAGTTTACCCAAGGGCCTGGTTTAATGGGTGATACCCGTACATCGATTTGATATCGTCAATGAGTTGTTAAGCAACTCTAAACAAGTTTGTTTCTTTTAAAAAAACTCTAAAAAAACAACTCTAAACATGTTAATATATAATGTAATTAAGAAATAATGTAGTTAAGAAGCGTGAATTGGTAGGCAATCTGGTATAAATATTGAATTGTCAAATTCCCTTCAAAAGTGGTATAAAGGGGAATCTCATATCAGACTCTTATCTGCTAGCTACACATAGTTCCCCCTCCCCCAGCATTCTCCTTTTCATTAAATGGAATGCTTTGCAATGATGCACATCCAGTTGACGTAGCTGAATGATCAGGAAATGTGTGATTCAGGGTTTAATAAGGAGTGGCCCTGCCAAAGGCTCTAGGACATTCTAAGGGTTCCCACAGTACACTGCAAATCATAGTACTATAGTTTACTTATATATATTTTTCACTCTGTATCTACCATAGCACTAGATACTATGCTAATAAATTTTGTTCACTCAGGAACAGTTCTGATGTTTTTAGCATTGAATGGCGCTCACAGGTCCTCGTCAATATGTGATCGCCGCACAAAGTTCTGTAAATGCGCACCTTCAAGCTTAAATTATTCACCTTACTGAGGCAGTCAACCAACGCGCGGCTTTATTTTTATGATATGATATGTTTTGATTGTTATTAATAAATACCAAAATTTAAATTTGTTTTCCTAAAAAAATTTGTTTTCCTAATGAATGAGCTTATCAAATTTGTGGCTGAATGAATTCTGTTATTAACTATTTTTCAATTATCTGTTGTCAGACCTGTCATTCGACCCTTTTTAGAGATAATTGTTCCCCTGAAATTGCTGATGTGAGGAACCATAGTACTTTACTGTGTAATATTATTATACGATCTACTAACACATATCTTATAGTTATTCAGTATGCCTAAGAACAAAGGAAAGGGAGGAAAGAACAGGAGGAGAGGTAAGAATGAAAATGAATCAGAAAAACGAGAACTCGTTTTCAAAGAGCATGGACAAGAGTACGCACAAGTGTTGAAGTTGTTGGGTAATGGCCGTCTGGATGCACAATGCTTCGACGGAGTTAAAAGATTATGCCATATCAGAGGAAAGCTCCGCAAGAAAGTATGGATCAACAATGGAGATATTATTTTGATAGGGCTGCGTGATTACCAAGACAGCAAAGCAGATGTGATACAGAAATACAACCCGGATGAGGCAAGAAACCTTAAAGCTTACAAAGAATTACCAGAAACTGCAAAGATCAATGATGCCCAGATAGATGACGACAATGATCTAGACGGAATTGAATTCCAGGATGATATTGATGGCGAAAGTGACGAGGTAGACGAGGATAGGAATCTCATGTTGGATGATATTGATGATATCTAGCTTCACTTTTCTGATTGTTGTTAAATTGAAACTTTAGATATCTCCACTGAGTTTCTGTGTGAATGAAGGAACTGGAATGGTTGTTTAATAAAGTACCTAGAATTGAAAATAAATACTTGTCAAAACATGCTCTTTTTTATCATCTTGTTCATAGTGCTCAAAATGAGTTTTTGGAATATATGATTTATGAAATCCACTTATCTAATGCAACTTTACAATTTTACAACCATTTGATTGTCTGACTGCTACTTGAGAAATATAGGACTTTCACTATCAACATCAAATTTATTGTTACATCTGAGGCTGCATTTGCATTATAATTACAATTTATTCCAAATATCTTCGTTAATTTGAGTTTGTAAGAACTAAGAGGCCTGTTAAAGTACTCAATGTTAGTTAATCAGATTGTATTCGAATAATAACTCATATATTAATTTCCAGGTGCATGAGCTTGTCTGAAGAGCAAAAAAAGCGCATTGAAGCTAATAGAATCAGGGCTCTTGAGCTTAAAAGGCAGCGTAATCAAAAGACATTAACAAGTAATCATGATCCAGTCAATAAATGCCAATCTGAAACACATTCTATACCAAACAAATTCACAGCTCAAAATGTTAGAAGTGACAAGAAATCATTTAATCATAGCTGCAGTCTGACTTCAGCCAATGGTGCAAGTGCTGCGCAAACATCTGGAAATGACAAAGAATTTTCTCACCCAACTTCCAGTACTGTACAGCAGAAAATAGAAGAAAACCGAAAACGTGCCATTGCTTTGAGAGCAACTAAAACCTCATTAATACAACAGAACAAAAGTACCTCAACACCTGTCATCAACCAGCCAGTAGATCCGTCTAAGTTGCCACTCAAAGAGGTAGAGAATAAACCAGATCTCTCAACCAACCAGTCTTATGATGGCCCGGTTCACGTGGCTACCTGTTGTCTTCTCTCAAAAACCAGATTTTATGTATCAACAAAGTTCCACAGTCAACTTATTGCTGTTATAAAAAACATGCCATCTCGTAGTTATGAAACAGAAACTTGCAAGTGGTCTCTAAAAATTGATGAGCATGACAAATTTCTGCAATCTTGCTTGTTTTTGAGACCTCAAGTAAAAGTTGAGCCTCTTCCAAAGTTTATTTTATCATGTTTGAAGGACACCAAGAGACTGCAGCAGAAAATCAGCAATTCAAACCCTTTACTCGAAAAACTTTTTTCATTTCAAAAAGAGGGCGTGGAGTTTGTTTTATCACTGAATGGAAGAGCACTCATAGCTGATGATATGGGCCTAGGGAAAACAATGCAGGTATTGATCTTGCTATTTATTTCTTCCTTCTTTTGTTACTTATTTAATATGTATCTTGAACCTCTACTTTAAAAATGTTCAGCGTAATAATCACGTTGGTGGAAAGTAGTGAGTCATTACAAAAGACAAATCACTCAGGCACTGTGTGTGATGCAGGAGTATCGAGATGAGTGGCCTCTTCTCATCGTTTGTCCATCATCTCTTCGGTTGACATGGTGTGAGGCTGTTACTACTTGGTTACCTGATGTCACGTACGGTGATGTTAATGTCATATTAAAAGGTATTGCAATTTCTTTATGGATGAGGTCACGATTGTTTTAATACCTTCACTTCCAATTTTTCATTGATTAAATATTATTTGTAATAACATAATATATTCAGTTTAAGTCATTTCAGTGGATTTAAGTACTGTCAAGTGACATTTTGATTGCTCAGGTGGAGATATGATCGGCAAGGAGAAAGTCACAATTTTCAGCTATGATCTACTCACAAAATTTAACCTAAAGAAGAGGTTTAAATGTGCTATTGCAGACGAATCACATTTCATCAAAAACGGTATTAAACCTACTAAAGCTATACTAGACAATAATCCTTCTTATTTCACTATTTAAAATTTTCTCTCGCTAATTTTAATTATCAATGACTGGTTAAATAAAATATTTAACAGGAGCTGTACTTAAATTTTAGTTTCAACAGGAATTTATTGTGCCGGTATATTTAAACCCATTATTTCAGCGAAGACAGTAAGATGTAAAGCAGCAGCGTCTATTCTCCAAGATACCAGAAGGTGTATATTACTGAGTGGAACCCCAGCACTGAGCAGACCTATAGAGCTATACTCCCAACTCCAGTGTGTCAACAGTAAGTGTGGGGTTGCAGTGCACTATATTTATTATTATGTGATTGTGTATCAGTCGCCAAAAACAGCATTAAGATAAAAATGTAGGACATATTATACTGCAAATTTTGTGTTCTGCAACCTCCACAATTTAATGCAGTCTCTACTAGTCTCTGATATTCTCAAAATGTCAGAGACATTATCATAAGCCCAATGAAAGTTGAACTGTCAAAATAGATAAAACTAGTTTACTTTATATTAACATTGTTTATTTCCCCTGATAGGAAGAATGATGCCAAGTTTACAAGAGTTTGGTTTGCGTTACTGTGATGGAAAAAAGTCCAACTGGGGCTGGGATTTTACAGGCAGCTCTAACTTGGAAGAGCTGAACATTTTCATGAGTGCTAATTTTATGATAAGAAGATTGAAGGTGAGGATGGATAAGAGTATTATGCTTCAGTGCTATGTTGTAATTAACATGTAAAACTGAAGTTTGAAAAATTAAAATAATGCTCTCTCGTCATAAGTAGTTAATTTTGAACTATTAACAACATATATATGACATCAAATAAGTTTTTTGCGTCTCAGAAAGATGTGTTGGATCAATTACCCGCAAAAAGAAGAAAGAAGATTGTCATAGAAACTAAAATGTCCAAGATTCTAAACGCAGCAGCGAACAGTGCAAGCACTGCCTCCAAGGCAAACTATCAAGCCTGTTTATTCGAGGTAATATAAAATGTTAAACTAATTGTTTTTAATTGCATTTATTGAGCATTATTATGTAATAAGATGGAAAAGTTGTAATTAGATGTAGCCAGTCCACACCCTGGCTCCATAATATAAAGAAATTGTTTTAATTCTAAATGAAAAGCTCAAATAAACACTAAACAGGTGCTACAAACAGCTGAATAACATTTTATAAACCACAATTTTTATTTAATCACGCACTCTTACATATTTTATAATCTGACTTCTGTTAAAAGCGTCTAACACAAGTCCCCCTCCCAGTACTACAGTGAAACAGCTTCTGCCAAACTCCCGGGAGTTATATCCTACATATCGGAGTTGTTGGAGAGTGAGACCAAGTTCCTAGTGTTTGTTCACCACAAGACCATGTTATGTGGGGTTCAGGAGTATCTCCGCAAGAGTAATGCCAAGTTTATCTTAATTGAAGGGAGCACTCCCGCTGAGAAAAGGTACGTGCTTTTAGGTGGATAATTTGTCGTTATTTTAATGTAAAAACTAAGTACCAGTTCTAATTTATATTACATGCAAAGGAACACTTACTAATCTGTGCTGTTAGATGTTTTCAGCATAAACACTAGTTATGTTTGGTTAATCTTTCTAATTGTTGATATTAGTTAAATCAACCTATTTACAGACAGGAGCAGGTGGAGAGGTTTCAGTCTGATGAAAGCTATTTGGTGGCTTTACTCTCTTTAACGGCTGCTAACACCGGCTTCACTCTCACTTCCGCTGACACTGTTGTCTTTGCTGAACTCTTCTACAACCCTGGGGTATGTTGTTTATATAGATCACTTTGTTTATGTAGATCACTTTTTGCCCCAATAAGCCAGAAGGTGACGCTTCCTGTATCGTCGACTAGTTTTTACAACTTCTAAATTCGGTGCAAAATCTGTGCAACCTTCCATTAATTTACCAAACAATCCGGTAATTAACCAACAAAATACCTCCGCAGATCTTACAACAAGCAGAAGACCGTGTCCACCGTATAGGACAACAAAACTCTGTAGTTATCCACTATCTGGTAGCACGGAAGACCTCTGATGACATCATGTGGCCGATGATAGAATCTAAGCTCTCTGTTCTTGGAGATATGGGTGTTGGAGCTGATGATTTCAAGTCAGCTGAAGCCTCTAATTATAGCGTTCCCAGTCAGGGTGATCAGGCTCAGACTAATATTATGAACTTTTTCACCGCTAGAAGTAGAGAAGAGGGGAAGGAGGATGAGGACGGTCATTGTAGCAAGAAGCCTAAGTTAAACTGATAACTGTGTTGTTCAGCCTTTTAGTTTTTTGTTAAACTTCCAGTTTATTTAGTTTATGAATGAGAACATTGTTTTTACCATTCGATTTTAACACGAAAAGAATAAAATATTGGGGCATTTATATTTTGGAATCACTATTTTCAGTGTATATTACTTTTTAAACAATTACTTGTTCACAGTGGAATCACTATTATCAGTGAATATTTTTTAATCACAGTACATGCTTGTTTTATATATATTTCATATTATGTTGTAATTTGTGCGTTGGTAAAATATTTCATTTCAACTATTTAATTTTAATTCTACCAAGTCATGATATTACCATGTTAAATGTTAATCATGTACATAATTCTTGTAGTTGTACTGTTGAATTTCTACACTATTCATAAATAAAACCGAGATGTTGATATTCCAGACTGTTCTCCAAATTAAACTGTCCCTCAAGTCTATTTGTGTAGGATTGCAAAATATAAAGTACAAAAAGGAAAAAAATCTAAATTTCAAAAAGTATTCATTCGGTAGGATGACGCTAGAAATAAAGTTAAAACGACCAAGTAAAGTGTACCGGCCGGGAGAAGTCGTCAAGGGATCTCTTTTAATTGAAACAAGATCAGGTAATTAATTAACATTTCACGTAATTATTAGTGAATTGAGAAGTTTTAACTGGTCTCCTTATGGTCATCCCTGTCTGCATAAACTAATAGAATGAGACAGAATGTAGCCAAGTACGCAAGTGCCATGGTTTTCACTCGTGAGAATAATTATTTGACATATCCTCAACTATATGTCACAAAAGGGATAAATCCATGTGTTTGAACAGAAACAATACTCTTAAAATAGCTCTCAAGCTGATGTAGACCAGAGAAATCTCTTAAATCACACAGTATCTACTGTAATTATGATTTATCCAAATCAAGAGATTTCTTAAGGCCGTTATCATTTCCATTTACCACACGAATGTAATAATATTACCCCCATATTCTCGTTCATTAGTATACAGTGTATATAATATATACTATACACCCAATGAGGATACACTCAATGTCAAGTTCCTCGCTTAACAAACATTACAAAAACATCACTAGAATTGTCCACAATCTCTCTAACCCTGGCTAAACCCACATCACACGTGAACAAGGGGTATCTCGTAGTTTCAGTTGGAGCGAAAGCATCAAACAAGATGTACTTGTGCAGCGTAGGATCAAGATAGTATCCTCCACCTTCCTGAGCAACTTGAGACGTTAACTTTAACTTGCAATCTGAGAAATCAAGATGATACCTGCAGTTCCCGACCCTGACCAAATCAACTGTTTCTACCATATCCTCCTCGACATCATAGATCTCACGTGGTCCCTTCGCTCCAATAAAGTTGTGTGAAGACACAGCCTTAAGATGCTTGTGTCTCCCACATTTCAGCTCTTTAGTATCAGGAATAAGCAGCCGCACAAAGGGTAGAAGTATCAGTTTCCTGTACTTGGAGGGTATTGCCCGGTAGCACAGAGTTCGGAGAAGTTGGGATATTTGAGTGGTCTGGATGGGGTGAGAAAGGCTCCATAACATGATGAGCTCCACTTGGGTGCACCAGTTAAACCGCCTGTAGTTGGGGTACCAGTGGTCTTCTTCTGGTATATCGTGCTGAGGAGATGTTGTGCTAGTGAGTTGTTACATTTGTGTGCTGTTGTATTCATTGATCATGAATCATAAAGCAAAGAGATGTATGACTATAATGATGTATGTAGTTAGCTTTCGTTGTGCTTACCTGATAAAAGATATCCGATAACCCAGGATCCTGGATCACAGCTTTTATCGTCTCAAAGCTCACCACCTCCCACCCGACATCACCAATCTCGTTGTAAACCCCTGGGTCTTTAGTCAGGTAATTGACCACCAGTAGGAGAAGCTTGCTGTTGTTAGTCACGTGATACAGATGTAAACACTGGGTACAGTTGGAGCTGGAGATCCGGGTCCTGGAAGCAAGGTAGTCCACCACCAACTCCTGGATGTTGTGCTCTATGTGCTGGAACTTCTCTGATAAAAGGAGGTCTATCTCACTGGATGTCAGGCATGTGTCTATTTCTGAGATGCTCCCACCCATGATGCCTACTATTTTACGTACTAGGTTATCTGGCCTTATTGGTCTCTTATTTTCTAGGGTTTTATCTTTAGTACCATTACTATTATCTGTTAGTTTTGAGGAGGCTTCTGAATTCTGGAATCTTGTCCTCTCATTTTCTCCACCAGTATATTTCATAGCATCCCTGATTTTCTTCAACAACATCCTCCTAACTCCATCCTCCAAACTTGTAGAGTCCAACACAAAGTCAAACACCACCTCCTGCAGATACGGCTTGTCTATGAGGTGATACTGGACACTGGTCAGCAGGTAACCCAGGTGACAGTTGTCAAGGTGATCTCGTTGCTTTAACTCCTTGAACCACCTGTTTACCAGTTTGAACACCCATTTTTCTTGTATGCACAACTTGCTCGATGTGGAAATGGACCTCATGCAGAAAAAGTCAAGCTGTAGGATCATTTTCGGTTTTGAAAGTAAATCCATCATCATACCATCGTCAAGTGAAGCAACACAGACGTCCATCAACTGCAAACACCATACAATGTGAGCAAACTTGAAGATCTCCACGAACCTCTCACAGCCTGGCTCACTGGTGATATACTCCGTGAACCTCTCCCCAACACATCTCTGTAACCAGCTCACTGAATACGTTTTAGCAAACTTGTAGACCACCTCCAAGTTGTGGTGCTCTATCTCCAGTACTCCCGTGTAGAAGCTACCTACTATATCAGATACCAACTGGAACTGATCTCCAAACCCTGGTGCTACAGTCACCTCGTACAGTCTCCTCCCCTCCTTGGTGGTGGAGGTAACAGTGTCTCCAGCAGTGAGGTTGTCTCCAGCAGTGAGGTTGTCTCCAGTAGTGAGGCTGTCTCCAGCGGTGAGGCTGTCTCCAGCGGTGAGGGTGCTGTTAAGGAGCAGGACTGTGCGGTGTGCGGGAATGTGCTGAGTGTTCACTATCACGTGACAGTCAGGTGGGGTGCTGGTTCGGAGGGAGTTGAGGGAGGTTTGCATCTGTTGTTTCCAGTGTTCTGGTGATGTGGTGGGAGGTGGTTCGGCCATAGGGCACGCTTCAGTTATGATCTTCTTGAAAATCTGTTAGTCAAACAAGCCCGTGATTGGTAGATAAAGTTCCTAATTGCTGATAATAGTTGTCAATTACTGAATGAACAAAACGAAGCCATCATAGAAGTAGTGTTAGTCACTACACTTAGCTGACTATGATTATTGCCCCATCAAAAAGTTGAATAGAATCAGGCATTCATACAGCTTTCTGAATACTGCCGTCTGCTTAAACTCGAAGTCATTCGTCAAATGTCATTCGAGCCTTCGTGGATCAGGTTTCTTTTCAAAAGATTAAATTTTGCATCGATCGATTGTTACAGGAAAGGTTCCCCGAAAATAGCTTAGATTTCATTTTATTGACCAGTCCTCACACTGCTGAGATATGACTGACATTAACATCCCTCTGGTACTGATGTATAACATTGACTTGAGTTTAATACTCAGGGGACTAGTCCGAGTTCCTAGTTATCTGTTATATTTATAGTTATAGTCTAGTTGGGCACGAATCAAGTATGAACCTCGAACTTTGACAATGTTATCTACGTAGATCTCGATATTTTAAAAAAAATGATAATGTTAATATTAGATATTTCAGATATTTCACACACGGGACTGTTTCTAAACCTGGAGGGTATAGTAAACATGCAGCTTAGCTCTAAGAGTGTGGGTATATTTGAGGCTTTCTACAACTCAGTTAAACCAATTCAGCTTATTTCAATCAACTTGGAAGTACAGAAAGCTGGCAAATTTCCAACAGGTAGCACATGATAAATATAACTTTGTAATGTATAGTGTGTAGTGTGTACATTATAGATATTAAAACGTCATACCTGCTTAATGTCAGGATTTGGCTTTGTTTATTAGTTACTTTCGATGTTTGGCTGTAATTAGCATCAAAATTGTATAATAATTCCAGGTGTCAAGTCAGATGTATTAGATACACATCAACTTGCTATCTATCGAAAAGATTACACTTTAAGGAGTGGTGTCATCGCCAAATTTTGTTTCGCCATCAAGGGATCAATCGTGAAAATAGCGAAAATGTAAAGAAACTTTTTTGCCATTTTAAAACACAAGCCGAGCATCTATTCCTAACCTGAACCGTATCCCCTCTACAGGAGTAACCACAATACCGTTCCTAACCCTAACCGTATCCCCTCTACAGGAGTAACCACAATACCGTTCCTAACCTAAACCGTATCCACTCTACAGGAGTAACCACAATACCGTTCCTAACCCTAACCGTATCCCCTCTACAGGAGTAACCACAATACCGTTCCTAACCTGAACCGTATCCCCTCTACAGGAGTAACCACAATACCGTTCCTAACCTGAACCGTATCCCCTCAACAGGAGTAACCACAATACCGTTCCTAACCTGAACCGTATCCCCTCTACAGGAGTAACCACAATACCGTTCCTAACCTGAACCGTATCCCCTCTACAGGAGTAACCACAATACCGTTCCTAACCTGAACCGTATCCCCTCTACAGGAGTAACCACAATACCGTTCCTAACCTGAACCGTATCCCCTCTACAGGAGTAACCACAATACCGTTCCTAACCTGAACCGTATCCCCTCAACAGGAGTAACCACAATACCGTTCCTAACCTGAACCGTATCCCCTCTACAGGAGTAACCACAATACAGTTCCTAACCTGAACCGTATCCCCTCTACAGGAGTAACCACAATACCGTTCCTAACCTAAACCGTATCCACTCTACAGGAGTAACCACAATACCGTTCCTAACCTGAACCGTATCCCCTCTACAGGAGTAACCACAATACCGTTCCTAACCTGAACCGTATCCCCTCTACAGGAGTAACCGCAATACCGTTCCTAACCTGAACCGTATCCCCTCTACAGGAGTAACCACAATACCGTTCCTAACCTGAACCGTATCCCCTCTACAGGAGTAACCACAATACTGTTTCTAACCTGAACCGTATCCCCTCTACAGGAGTAACCTTCCTAACCTGAACCGTATCCCCTCTACAGGAGTAACCACAATACCGTTCCTAACCTGAACCGTATCGCCTCTACAGGAGTAACCACAATACCGTTCCTAACCTGAACCGTATCCCCTCTACAGGAGTAACCACAATACCGTTCCTAACCTGAACTGTATCCCCTCTACAGGAGTAACCACAATACCGTTCCTAACCTGAACCGTATCCCCTCTACAGGAGTAACCACAATACCGTTCCTAACCTGAACCGTATCCCCTCTACAGGAGTAACCACAATACCGTTCCTAACCCTAACCGTATCCCCTCTACAGGAGTAACCACAATACCGTTCCTAACCTGAACCGTATCCCCTCTACAGGAGTAACCACAATACCGTTCCTAACCTGAACCGTATCCCCTCTACAGGAGTAACCACAATACCGTTCCTAACCTGAACCGTATCCCCTCTACAGGAGTAACCACAATACCGTTCCTAACCTGAACCGTATCCCCTCTACAGGAGTAACCACAATACCGTTCCTAACCTGAACCTTATCCCCTCTACAGGAGTAACCACAATACCGTTCCTAACCTGAACCGTATCCCCTCTACAGGAGTAACCACAATACCGTTCCTAACCTGAACCGTATCCCCTCTACAGGAGTAACCACAATACCGTTCCTAACCTGAACCGTATCCCCTCTACAGGAGTAACCACAATACCGTTCCTAACCTGAACCGTATCCCCTCTACAGGAGTAACCACAATACCGTTCCTAACCTGAACCGTATCGCCTCTACAGGAGTAACCACAATACCGTTCCTAACCTGAACCGTATCCCCTCTACAGGAGTAACCACAATACCGTTCCTAACCTGAACCGTATCCCCTCTACAGGTGTAACCACAATACCGTTCCTAACCTGAACCGTATCCCCTCTACAGGAGTAACCACAATACCGTTCCTAACCTGAACCGTATCCCCTCTACAGGAGTAACCACAATACCGTTCCTAACCTGAACCGTATCCCCTCTACAGGAGTAACCACAATACCGTTCCTAACCTGAACCGTATCCCCTCTACAGGAGTAACCACAATACCGTTCCTAACCTGAACCGTATCCCCTTTACAGGAGTAACCACAATACCGTTCCTAACCTGAACCGTATCCCCTCTACAGGAGTAACCACAATACCGTTCCTAACCTGAACCGTATCCCCTCTACAGGAGTAACCACAATACCGTTCCTAACCTGAACCGTATCCCCTCTACAGGAGTAACCACAATACCGTTCCTAACCGTATCCCCTCTACAGGAGTAACCACAATACCGTTCCTAACCTGAACCGTATCCCCTCTACAGGAGTAACCACAATACCGTTCCTAACCTGAACCGTATCCCCTCTACAGGAGTAACCACAATACCGTTCCTAACCTGAACCGTATCCCCTCTACAGGAGTAACCACAATACCGTTCCTAACCTGAACCGTATCCCCTCTACAGGAGTAACCACAATACCGTTCCTAACCTGAACCGTATCCCCTCTACAGGAGTAACCACAATACCGTTCCTAACCTGAACCGTATCCCCTCTACAGGAGTAACCACAATACCGTTCCTAACCTGAACCGTATCCCCTCTACAGGAGTAACCACAATACCGTTCCTAACCGTATCCCCTCTACAGGAGTAACCACAATACCGTTCCTAACCTGAACCGTATCCCCTCTACAGGAGTAACCACAATACCTTTCCTAACCTGAACCGTATCCCCTCTACAGGAGTAACCACAATACCGTTCCTAACCTGAACCGTATCCCCTCTACAGGAGTAACCACAATACCGTTCCTAACCGTATCCCATCTACAGGAGTAACCACAATACCGTTCCTAACCTGAACCGTATCCCCTCTACAGGAGTAACCACAATACCGTTCCTAACCTGAACCGTATCCCCTCTAGAGGAGTAACCACAATACCGTTCCTAACCTGAACCGTATCCCCTCTACAGGAGTAACCACAATACCGTTCCTAACCTGAACCGTATCCCCTCTACAGGAGTAACCACAATACTGTTCCTAACCTGAACCGTATCCCCTCTACAGGAGTAACCACAATACCGTTCCTAACCTGAACCGTATCCCCTCTACAGGAGTAACCACAATACTGTTCCTAACCTGAACCGTATCCCCTCTACAGGAGTAACCACAATACCGTTCCTAACCTGAACCGTATCCCCTCTACAGGAGTAACCACAATACCGTTCCTAACCTGAACTGTATCCCCTCTACAGGAGTAACCACAATACCGTTCCTAACCTGAACCGTATCCCCTCTACAGGAGTAACCACAATACCGTTCCTAACCTGAACCGTATCCCCTCTACAGGAGTAACCACAATACCGTTCCTAACCTGAACCGTATCCCCTCTACAGGAGTAACCACAATACCGTTCCTAACCTGAACCGTATCCCCTCTACAGGAGTAACCACAATACCGTTCCTAACCTGAACCGTATCCCCTCTACAGGAGTAACCACAATACCGTTCCTAACCTGAACCGTATCCCCTCTACAGGAGTAACCACAATACCGTTCCTAACCTGAACTGTATCCCCTCTACAGGAGTAACCACAATACCGTTCCTAACCTGAACCGTATCCCCTCTACAGGAGTAACCACAATACCGTTCCTAACCTGAACCGTATCCCCTCTACAGGAGTAACCACAATACCGTTCCTAACCTGAACCGTATCCCCTCTACAGGAGTAACCACAATACCGTTCCTAACCCTAACCGTATCCCCTCTACAGGAGTAACCACAATACCGTTCCTAACCTGAACCGTATCCCCTCTACAGGAGTAACCACAATACCGTTCCTAACCTGAACCGTATCCCCTCTACAGGAGTAACCACAATACCGTTCCTAACCTGAACCGTATCCCCTCTAGAGGAGTAACCACAATACCGTTCCTAACCTGAACCGTATCCCCTCTACAGGAGTAACCACAATACCGTTCCTAACCTGAACCGTATCCCCTCTACAGGAGTAACCACAATACCGTTCCTAACCTGAACCGTATCCCCTCTACAGGAGTAACCACAATACCGTTCCTAACCTGAACCGTATCCCCTCTACAGGAGTAACCACAATACCGTTCGAGTTCCCCCTGAAATCTAAAAGTAACAAGCCCCTGTACGACAGTTACCACGGTGTGTTTATCAGTGTTCAGTACACACTACACGCTGAGCTGAGACGGGGTATCCTTAACAAGCCTATCCTTAAAAACTTGGAGTTTATTATGGAAGGTTGGTTGAGAGGCGTGTTTTTAGATTATTATTGTTTACGGACTATGGATACTTATTACTTAGTTTATTAAGCATTTGTTTCTCTTTAAGATTATCCCTTTTAAACTCTCCTGAATTTTAGTTTTCGAGTGCAAGTTAATTCAACTTAATCTCAAGTAAACTAAGCTAAGGATTTACCCAACTTTACCATTTCATCAGGTGATAGAGTAGCTAAGAACACTGACCAACCCCCCATACCTTTCACTATCACACCACAGTCCTTAGAAAACATCCGGGAAATCAAGTCTGTCCCTGACTTCAAAATCAGGTGAGCATGTTTTAATTTTGAGAGCTCTGTTAAATTTAATTGCGTCTTTGTCCATAAGCAATAAGTATGAATATTTTACTCAAACTTTTATATTAAAATCGTGCTTCCAATTCGCATATTACATTAAAGCAGGATTCGTACGTAGTACGTACTTATTTCCCCGAAAAGTGGTGGACACTGGTATTACCAGTGTCCACCAGTTACTGGTAATCGATTATGTCCCGCAAGGGTTGCCAGAATATTATGAGGATAGACTGCGAGTCACCTCAGACTGGCTTGCGAGAAGTTTCAAAACAAATAACAGTGACGCACTATATATTACACAATATATATTGTATCATGCGCACGTATCACATTACACATTTTCCAATCATAACCGGACAAAATTGTAACAAATAATACCTTGGCTTAGTTTTGTGTTCGGGTTCGCCCGAGGCACTCAACAGCCAAGGTATTATTGTATTTTAAGAATGCAAAAGATTATTATATTGAGATAATGAGGAATTATAATATTAAACTTTAAAATTTAATATTTCTGGGTAATATAAATTACTGAAATCTGAAAATCACTTACAACCGTTATGTAATACTCCATTTTATAATTTAACTGTATAGTAGAAGTGTCTAACTCGGGACTGAGTTCAAATGTTTGGCAGAATGAAACAATCCCGACCCACCTTAAGTGGGAAGCTTAGGTGGGAAGTTTAGGTGGGAAGTTTAGGTGGGAAGTAGATAATACATAATAGAGTCATAGTAAGTAATGGCAGTTTTGACATATTCATATTTTGCAGTATTACCACTGAAAAATCGAATCAAAGGACCAGGATAATATGGCCATCAGAACAGTTTTCTAAGAATCGGAGAACTTTAATCGCTTCTTCAGAGAAATTGAATCGCTTCCTACTTAGGACCCAACAGCAGTTGTCTAGTATAATTAGTAATTTGTTTCGTTTTTCGCTCTCTTGAGTGGGTTGATCATGATTCATGATAGATTACTGGGGACGAAAGTCTCCACTCAATGTAAAATAAAATACATGTATTGTGGTCGTTTCGGCTACATGCGTTTATCATACACGCTGAGATTAATCTTTACGTAGCTCAACAAATGTAATGATGTAATTAGTTTAAACTAAACTGTTTTACAGTAAGTCGTCCCCAGTAACCTATAATAATTAGCAATCATCCTAAGTTTTAGCTATAAAAGCTCAAAACAACCCCGGTCCCGATATTAAAAATTTCTACAATTACCCACAAGTTCAATAAACATAACATTTACAGTGAAACACTAGACAGGGCAGTTTCAAAAAATTAACCACAAGTTCAATAAACATAACATTTACAGTGGAACACTAGACAGGGCAGTTTCTACAATTAACCACAAGTTCAATAAACATAACATTTACAGTGGAACACTAGCTTAGACAGGGCAGTTTCTACAATTAACCACAAGTTCAATAAACATAACATTTACAGTGGAACACTAGACAGGGCAGTTTTTACAATTAACCACAAGTTCAATAAACATAACATTTACAGTGGAACACTAGACAGGGCAGTTTCTACAATTAACCACAAGTTCAATAAACAAAACATTTACAGTGGAACACTAGACAGGGCAGTTTCTACAATTACCCACAAGTTCAATAAACATAACATTTACAGTGGAACACTAGACAGGGCAGTTTCTACAATTAACCACAAGTTCAATAAACATAACATTTACAGTGGAACACTAGACAGGGCAGTTTCTACAATTAACCACAAGTTCAATAAACATAACATTTACAGTGGAACACTAGACAGGGCAGTTTCTACAATTAACCACAAGTTCAATAAACATAACATTTACAGTGGAACACTAGAGAGGGCAGTTTCTACAATTAACCACAAGTTCAATAAACATAACATTTACAGTGGAACACTAGACAGGGCAGTTTCTACAATTAACCACAAGTTCAATAAACATAACCTTTACAGTGGAACACTAGACAGGGCAGTTTCTACAATTAACCACAAGTTCAATAAACATAACATTTACAGTGGAACACTAGACAGGGCAGTTTCTACAATTAACCACAAGTTCAATAAACATAACATTTACAGTGGAACACTAGACAGGGCAGTTTCTACAATTAACCACAAGTTCAATAAACATAACATTTACAGTGGAACACTAGACAGGGCAGTTTCTACAATTAACCACAAGTTCAATAAACATAAACTTTACAGTGGAACACTAGACAGGGCAGTTTCTACAATTACCCACAAGTTCAATAAACATAACATTTACAGTGGAACACTAGACAGGGCAGTTTCTACAATTAACCACAAGTTCAATAAACATAACATTTACAGTGGAACACTAGACAGGGCAGTTTCTACAATTAACCACAAGTTCAATAAACATAACATTTACAGTGGAACACTAGACAGGGCAGTTTCTACAATTAACCACAAGTTCAATAAACATAACATTTACAGTGGAACACTAGACAGGGCAGTTTCTACAATTAACCACAAGTTCAATAAACATAACATTTACAGTGGAACACTAGACAGGGCAGTTTCTACAATTAACCACAAGTTCAATAAACATAACATTTACAGTGGAACACTAGACAGGGCAGTTTCTACAATTAACCACAAGTTCAATAAACATAACATTTACAGTGGAACACTAGACAGGGCAGTTTCTACAATTAACCACAAGTTCAATAAACATAACATTTACAGTGGAACACTAGACAGGGCAGTTTCTACAATTAACCACAAGTTCAATAAACATAACCTTTACAGTGGAACACTAGAGAGGGCAGTTTGTACAATTAACCACAAGTTCAATAAACATAACCTTTACAGTGGAACACTAGACAGGGCAGTTTCTACAATTAACCACAAGTTCAATAAACATAACATTTACAGTGGAACACTAGACAGGGCAGTTTCTACAATTAACCACAAGTTCAATTAACATAACATTTACAGTGGAACACTAGACAGGGCAGTTTCTACAATTAACCACAAGTTCAATAAACATAACATTTACAGTGGAACACTAGACAGGGCAGTTTCTACAATTAACCACAAGTTCAATAAACATAACATTTACAGTGGAACACTAGACAGGGCAGTTTCTACAATTAACCACAAGTTCAATAAACATAACATTTACAGTGGAACACTAGAGAGGGCAGTGTGTGATATCGAGCAGCCCCTACAAGGTACAATCATGGTGGAGCACAGTGCTAAGCCTATCAAGAGCGTGGAGCTCCAGCTTGTTAGAGTCGAGACATGTGGCTGTGCTGAAGGGTATGTAGTATATGTTACCAGGGGGGGTTAGTAAGCATCTAGATTCTAGAACTCTTCCCCGAAGATCCAAAAGAATCCCTGTTCCTCTTGAACATTCATTTAGGAGCCCTTGCCTTGGAGTATAAGGTTTCTCTTCTATGTACGTTTCATTTAACTGTACATGTACCCTCCCATGGGCCATGGCCATGGGTTTAAGGTTTGATATTATAATAGTCATGTAATTATCTGAATAATTATATCCTTGTCTAAACAGTTACGCTAAGGATGCAACTGAGATCCAGAATATACAGATAGCAGAAGGTGACGTCATGAAAGGGCTAGCAATACCAGTACATATGGTCTTCCCCAGGTTAGAAAACAATGGGTTACGGTCTTACCTTTTTATTTTTAATTGTACAGTTGTCTGGAATTTTAAAGTCTATTTCAAATCTTTAATTAGTTGTCTTGAAAGTTTTAAGCCTAGTTAGAGACTTATTTAATTATTTCATGTTAATTCAGGTTGTTTACATGTGTCACCACCGCCACCAACAACTTCAAGATAGAGTTTGAAGTTAACATTGTCATAGTCCTTCAGGATGATCATCTCATCACAGAGAACTTTCCCATTAAATTATACAGACCTTCAAAATAGAGAACATTATACTTTTTAGTTTTCATACCTTCAGATGTGAGATGTGTATCAGATGACATATATTGTTTGAACTTGAATCATGGTTGTCAGTCGGGAATTGATTCAAAGTTTTTTTTGGTTTCCATTGTCAGTTTAATTTGGTTTCAATAAGACTTTTCAGACCAGTTGACCAGATTTTTATATTGCTGAATTTGATTTTGTTTTAATCTTTTGTAATTGATGTATAATTATTGTTGTTGACAATTTCCCACTTAGTATTAGAACTTAGAATGTTTAATGTTTATTGTCGTAATGGTAAAGCTTTGTTAGGTATAATGCAAATACGATAATTATAATAAATAATAAAATTTGTAGTGGTCGGATCGAGATTGTCTATTTATTCCATTCATAATATGATTACCTTTTCAAACCCCAATTCAAAAATCCTTATTAAATTTTGTCTCAGGATACTGGCATGTCTGATGATGAATTTGATGATCTGGATGCTTTGTTTGATGAATTTGATGACGATGACGTTGTAGACGCTGCTGAGGAAAATAAATCGAATTGTCCAGTCCAGAAAGAAGAAGATGCGTCTGAAGAATCTCCAGCAAATGTTTCTGCAAACGAAGAGAAACTCAGGTCAGAGCTCGAGGAAATGAAGCTCAAGATGAAGATGATGGAGGAAATGCTAAAAAATCAAAGCATGACAACTCCTGTAAAATCTTTAAATTCAAGTAAAATTAAGAAACCAGAAAATTCGAATACGACAAGTCAAGCTAAAAAGGAGGTTACTCCTATGAAGACAGTTACCCCCAGCAAACCCTCTTTATCAGATAAGTTCAAGAATGTTCTCGATACCAAATCAAGCGATGATAATCCTAGTACCTCTGCTTCTCAAATAAAACCACCACCCAATAAAACACCATCAAAGTGTCAACTTTCTGAAACTTTCGGCACTGCTCTTCATGAAGCAGAATCAAAACGTCAGGCCCCTAAACCGAGTAACATTAAGCCTGTCTCCTTTGCTCCGACTCCAGAAAAACTAGATAAGTGCCCTCACTCAGGAATCAGAATCAGCAATCGAGTTACAGCCAAAAGTGACTTTAACTGCGCTGTCGCAACTCGCAAGTTCGTCAAAATCCAACACCTTCCACTTTTCTTTAAGGACAAGCAGGAAGTACCGGGTGACTGGGTAACATCTGGCGTGATCGTGAGGAAAGCAGGTCCTTTCAAGTCAAAAACTGGAAACGATTACAGTATCTGGACGTTATCTGACTTGATTTCGCTTGATAATACTCTATCTTTGTTTTTGTTTAAAAACGTTCATATAGAACACAGAAAAGAGCAGATTGGTACTGTTGTTGCTCTGCTCAACCCTAACTTCATGCCTCCTCGTGATCAGGAGAAAGGCAAGAAAAGTGACCTTGCCTTCACTTTGGATGATGCCAAGAAACTTCTCAGAATGGGAATGGCTGCCGATTATGGTACTTGTAAAAATACCACAAAGGGTGGCCAGCAGTGCAACAATTTCATCAACAAATCTCTAACACAATATTGCGATTTTCACATTGTAAAAGTTCATGCTCAATTGAGGAATAAGAGAATGGCTCTGAACGGTTCTTATACTCCCCTACAACCTGGCATGAATAAGCTTCAAAAATTTAAACAGGACTGTCAAGCTTTCTCCCACAAGGGAAACGTTTACTATCCAAATGTTAAGGCAGAGGTAACCGACAAACCTGAAGTGGCAGCACTGAAAAAGAAAGGAATGATGATTTCAACTCCACTAGTGAGCACAGAGGAGTTTAACAACAGATTGAAAGTACAATCTACCGGGTCTATTCAGCTAAAACGGGCTCTCGAAGCATCTCCAAAACCATCAGAGTCATCCCAAAGCTCTAAACGTGCGAGATTAGAAAAGCTAGATATGACTTCTTGTAAAACTTTTTTCAAAAAACATGTTGAAGCTCCGAAGCTAGGCAGCGGCCTTTCATCGGGAGGATTTATAAACTTAAACACTGACGGAAAAAAGGCTAGTATGAAAGCTAAAGCTATTTCTCTGGCGAAAAAAGGAGCATTTACCGCTAAGATTCCGGGTAGAAAACGGCACGAACTTACTCCTGATGAGAGAAGACGGATGAAGGAGAGGTCCCTGGGCCTGGAAAAGGAGCCCCCTCCAAAAGAGGAGATTATTCTAAATAGTGCTTCAGATATGTTATGTTCTAAAGGTCCAATAGTGACCAAAAGAACTGCAAGTAGTGCACGGCAAGATAAAGAAAATAAATCCCGTAAAAGTATTAATGGTAAATCAAAGGAAAGTGAACCTGTAGCGAGAAAAGGTATTTTATCTGCCGCATTTGGTTCTATTGACACTGAATCAATCGAGGGAAAGAGAATCATGAAGGCCCAGTCAATGAACGTGGGTGTTATCCGAGAGCAAGAAATCGAAAGGACAACAGACTATTTCAATGCCATGGAAAAATTCGAACACAACGAAGAAAAGCTGCTGAGCATCAAGGAGATCAAGGTCACTGTTTACATCTGTAGGACCTGCAACACGGCCACTTCCAAGCAACTTCCTAAGTGCATAGAAGAGAAACATCCCGTTAAAAAGGGACCAGCTGTTAAGAAGTTCTTCAAATGTGGGGGCTGTTCCCAGAGGACAGATGTAGTGGGCATGCCGTACCCAGATCACAGCTGTATGAAGTGTGGCAAGTCCGCGTGGGTCAAGTGTAGTATGTATCATGAGAAGAAGGGGGTGAAGTTGGAGAGTGAGAGGTTGGTTGTAAGAGCTGAAGATGTTGAAATTAGAGAGAAATTTGCATAGGTTGAGCAACTTGGAAATGTGTATGGTGAAATACCGTGGTTGTATAGAATTTGTAGTCGTCATTGAGTGATTGCCAATGCTACTTTTGCTTTTGGTTTGTTATCATCGCATGGTATATAAAATGATGTGACCTGTTAAGTTGGTCGTATTTGACGGGCGGGGTTAAAGTTTTAAATTGTTTTAGTATTGCGTTTTGTTGACAGTTTTAATTTTTGAATACGTATTGACTTAATTTCTAACGCCAATGATTATGCTTTTGTTTTACTCTGAAGATTACACAATCATTACATTAGTTTCAAGACTATTGTTTAAAGTTGCCGCCTTTTTCTGCTATGGCAGTCAATTTGACTTCCAGAATAAACAAATTAATCAAAATTTACACACCGCAGCCCAGATGATAACTAATTGGCTGCTGTAATTTCTTATCTACTCAAACCTTCATTCTGTGTGTACATTAACACACATTTTAAAATCTATTATCTGTTTACAAAAAGTAAAAGTAACCCTCTTTATTACCAAGGTACCAGCCATGCTCTGTAGAATTGTAAAACGAAGATGTACCAGACTAGGCAGTCTAATTTGTAACCAACTATCAGATCTGTCGTTTGTAAAGAGGGGACCTGATGCGAGATTCACTCCTTTACCCTTATTTTCAGGTTAGACGGTTAATTGATTGTTTTCTTCTCACAATTTAGTTTTGAAAAGCAGTAAAAACCTGTTGGAATTCTACGTGTCATAGGTTTAACAGCTATATATCACATGCCAAAACTCAAAAGCTGCTCGAGCAATTCTGTCACTCAACGACGCTTAGAAACAGTGAGATCAGTAGATATAATGCACGCGTTGTCTTCTGTACAGCTCAGTAGAACTGTCTGACCACACCCCTGTTTCCTCAGAAGTGGGAGGAAATGTAGTTCCTGGTTTGCAGTCAGCAGGTAAGGGGCACTACTACCACGTAACCGGACAGTACTACGATCACGATCCTACTCTCATACGGAATATCGTCATGAAGGTCAGTAATCGTCTTTTGTTTTTCTCTTTTGTTTTTCTCTTTGTTAGATTTTTATTCGTAGCTCGATATTCTTTAATTTTTCTTGAGTTTCTTGAGCCACGTCTTAAATAATTCCTGTTAAGTCACACGCAGTGACTAGGTTAGATTCTATGATATACCATTTTGGATATCATGACTTGACACTCATCAAATCGTTTCAGATTGGCGAGAACTTTGAGCCGAAAGTTATTTTGGATGCTGCGTGTTCTGACTCGGAGATTAAAATATTGACAAACCTTTTAGTTGATAGTTTGGAATGCAGGTAAACTCACGATTGTTGTTAAATTTGTTTGTCATGAAGATATATAATATAACGATAAAACTTTAAACTGTAATGCAAAAACGCCTAAGTTGACGATAATAAAACTTACAACAAACGAAAACTAATCTTAGTATCGACATGTAAATTTAATACCATTACTTTGTAGGAACATAAGTTCGGGTGAGGTTGATAGTATCGGGTCGGAAGATTGGAACTATGGCTACGTTCTGGAACCTTCCTTTACTATCTTCTCAAATGACGACATAGTTTTACAACAGAACGACCAGGTAACCACATTTACTGACCCTTTATTAGTTTACCTTGAAAAATCAAATTCCTACTGCTCGTACAGTCGACACCTTTTTGTTATGATATTAATGATTATATGCTATAAAGTTAATTTAACATGGGATGATCTCACCTGAACAGGGTTAGATAATTTATGACCTACTTTGGCTGAAGTCCAAGTTATCGACTTGACATGCGTCATAACGTATGACACATGTTTTGTAGCATTGATAATGTGCACAATTTCCGTGCCTCTGGGTTAGAGATAATCTAGCCTGTTGTGCACTCTCCTTATCTTAATTATATGGCTTATCTTAATTATATGGTTGGCGAGATAATGTGCCCTCTGATTTAATACAATCAATAATCCTAAATAACTTATTTCTGTTTACATTTTTATCGGACGTTTGATATTATGGTCATATGTCGTTTATTGTTAATTAACACCTATACATTATAGTAGTATATTGACATCCGACTTTTTTTAAGGTCGTTATCTGCTTTAATTATTTTCTTTTGACCATGAACTCTATCTCAGAATAAAGATTTGATGCAGTTGAACTCCAGACGAGGATTTCCTATTGGTCAGAAGATATGGATGAAGGATATTGAAAATGTGTTCGTTGATTTGTCTCCCCGGCCCTGGGCTACTCAAACACTAGGTTGTTAGATAATAGATACCAGAAAGAAGTATTTAAATACTTTATTTAAAAGAGCTATAAAGGCCAACGTATGGGTACTGACTTTTGGCCCACCCTTTAGTTGGATAAATTTGACAGAGTTTACCCTCCGCAACAAAATCGTTTAAGAAGCTGATGTCTGCGGCCTAACCATTGACAGTTTTATGAAATTTTTAGAATTTTGACAGAATTAAATCTGCTTTCCACAAATTTAAAGCAAATTAAGATACCCTCCATGAGTTATAAGGTATACAATGTATACAATATAACTCTCTCTCTCTCTCTCTCTGTTCTGGTCAACGGTTTCTGGCCTCTTACGATAAAGATGGAGGCCTTCTCGCCGTGCCCACAGAATGCAACTCCTGCTAGCTGCATTCCAGGACTCCCAAAGTATATACGAAATCATAAAATAATAAATATCAATGCAACAGACCTCTGGAGTCTTGAAGCTGTCACTACCTGTCTCAGAGCAAACCCACTTCGGTTGTGGTACTTCGGTGGGCAGACAAGGGACTTCCGAGCCAGGTCATCTCCTGGAATTGGTGCTATTATTAGTTTTCCTGGGAGTGGGTTATTTCCTGATGTTGTTTTCCTGAAATTGTGTTATTTCCTGGTGTTAAACAATATAACTCATGGAGGGTATTTTATATACATTGGCAGGTATACGGACGCTATCAGAACAGATAACACTTCTCACGAACGAGCGGGATTTTGTAACACGTGACTCGGATGAAGACGGTGAACCCTCTTACGAGGAACTGGGAGAAATCATGATGAACACTGGTAAATTCTTTATCTTTTAATCTGCGTTATCTTTCATATTGTTTCCGCGCGATTCCTTTATAGTTTATTCCCTTCGAAATCCTGATTTTCGACCCTATCCACCTACTCTCGATTCGAAATTGGTGAATAATGTTTATTCCAATCTGAAGGCTGTAGGGCAATTCGCAGTGAATCATTGCAAGGGGTAACGGTATTCATGGTAATTAATCAGTATTTGGTATTTTGGTTTTGGTTTTGGTCTACCCCCAGAAATATTGGGCAGTATCCAAGTAGCGCGACATGTGTTCCCGAACAGGTGTTTTCTAATAGGGTTAGGGTTAGGATTAAGGTTAGGGTTAACCTTAACCTTAACCCTAGCCCTAACCCCGACCCTAACCCTAACCCTAACAAACCTGGGAACATGTCGGGCTACTTGGGATACTACCAAATATTGGACGTTATGTACACTATTTCATCCGGTCCAGCTCACTCATTTATAATTAATATACATATTTTCAGAATGGATAGTGAAAGCTGCCGCACAGCTTGTGTACGTATCAACTAAAAACCGCTTTAAGAACGCCAATATACCGCTATATGTCCCGCGAGTGGTACAGGCAGATTTGAACCCATGGGTTGCCATGAGAAACAGTTTGTGGCAAAATGAAGTACCCGATAAGTTACAGAATTCCCAAAATAGTTACACCCCTTGAGTTAATTATTAATTAACAAATTGTTATAGTTAAATAATAACATGAGAGAGTTATTTATGACTTTATAATGCCGTTTCGTTCTGTTAATATTGTTTATGGATCATTTTTCATTGGGATACCAGCTGTCGACTACAATGTTATATTTTGCACAATTTTATAAATTATTGATTTTGAGGACTCACCATATGCATAGTATTCTTATTTTTAACGTTGCTGTCAACTTTGATGTCGCATCTTTTGGGCGATGATACTAAATTTGATCAAACCTGTATTTTACATTTGGAAAGGTCTTCCGTAATCACGGGTGATACATACTTAACACATTACGTTAGTACCCTACTCAAGCTAGCAATTTGTAACTTACTTACTTTACTTAGGATGGTTAATTATAATTGACACTTCTGTGGCACTGACACTCCCCTGGGCTTCTCCCCCGGCTACGTAAGTGTTAATTATTAATTTGCTTGGGTTTCGTTTTAGATAGGATTTAGGTTATTTTAATGCGTGATAAGATATTTGATCATCAACAATCCAACTGAGCTTTAAAGTTTAATCACGTACCATTGACTCATTCAGACCAAACAAACCAAAAACTAAAGTTCAGACCCAAATCACTATATTCCAAAGGCTTCCAAGATTTCAAAAGGTTGCATTTAGTTACTGACATTAAATTTAGCAAAATTTCTACACGAAACATGACTTTTTTCTGGGTCACATTAAACTTGATCGGGTATCCCGCACCCGGCGCAACAATATGGCACAGGGTGACATTTTTTGTATGGGGCGATTGCGGTGCAATTCCAAACAAACAATACTGTAACGCGCGTTGACATTTAGCTATACAACCAATCACCCGCACTACATTGCACGTACGGTCTTGCGTGGCGACTGGTAGATTTTACAAAATTTAAATTGTGAAATAATAACCAAGCGACGTTGTATCACATTTTGTCACGTGATAAGAGATTACTGCAAAACGTGTGTATATTATCCGGCGGGAGATCAGGCTACTACAGAGGTGTATGCTGAATATGTCAGCGTAGTATTGTTATGTTCAGTTTCGAAAGAATTAAACAGCTCTAAATTAGATAACTGCGATTAGGTAATCTGAAGGTCTGACAGTTGACATGACTGAGCTTTTATTCAAATTACATTTCTCTCCGTACCATTGACGGTTCAGTTAAATTTATAACTTTCAATAAAGCGACATAAGAAGAAACAGATTCTAACGGTCCCAATATTGGTCTTTCGAACTAATTATTTGTGATACGAACTCTGTCTGGAGACTGTGGAGTGTGGACTGCTTTAAGATTAAGTTTGGCTCATTATATCTCCACGCATATTCGTTGGTACATATTACAAATACACTTGCGATTAATAAATCAAGAGTCTAATAATATGTTCTTAAGTAACATTTCTTGGAACAAGCTGTACCCCCAGCCCCCCCCCCCCCCCCCCCCCCCCCCCCCCCCCCCCTGGCAATATTACTCTGAAACAATGAAACACATATTCTAGCATTTTTTATGTTAACAACAAATCGAATGTGATTAATATACTATAGTTCAGGAAACAGGAAATAAATACTCACCATCCAGGACAAATAAAGAGTAAAAACGATTTAGACAATCTTTTTTCTTTCTACGTTATAAAATACGTCTATTTTCCTTGGGCGAATTTCCAATAACTTAAAGTGGGCGTGAAAAGCTAACACATCGAACACAATGAGTTAGCGTTCTCACCAAGTTGAGCATGAGCCTCATACCCGACTTGGGTGTGCCAAATTAATCAACATCATAAAATAACACGCAGTATTTAAGGGATTTTCTTTACTATTATATATCAGCGATGAAATCTTAAAAACAGCAAGAATTTTAATTACATACTAAAGAATTGTAATTATTCGAATAAAAATTACTCAATTGTGACCTTGAAATTTAACCGGTTTAGAACGATATAAGACGGATGGGATTAAAAGTTAACAAAATTACTGAATGATAACAAATACGTGACCCTTTATGTGACTTCACACAAGTTTCCGGCTCAGATTATAAGATTTGCAGTTCAACCTAACGTACTCTCATACTGTAATGGGTATTTGCAGACTTCAAAGAAAAGTTTTCATCAAATCAGATATTTATGTCGAGGTAGAATTAGTTCGAGAACTTTATTAAGGAATGATATTGTTGAACTTTTCTTTCGACCAACTTATTGCCACCATTGGGTTACTTAATAATATGATGAAAGATGAGTCTACATATTAAGATGTCTTACCTAAACCCTTTTGAAAATTCCCTCCTCATTTATATGTTCCACAGCAACGGTTGTCCGAGTTAAGGATGATCAGTTTGAATGAACATCTATTTTTTTGCTATAGAATGTAACAATGCATATTATATCAATTCTAAAAGTAGGGGTTTTGGCTGAACCCCCAAATCATACGAACTTCTTTATGATGACCAGTAGAGTTCACTGATCTAAAATACACATCAAAATTTGAAAAATAGTATACTTAAAGTAAACTTATCTCGCGATATTCTGATTCTTTGATGAAATATTTTGTTTGTAGTCCATGGAATACCTAAGGAAAGTTCACATATTACGTAAGCCTGATCTCGGCCCCAATTCAGACCCCACCCCTTGGTTCCCCTCCGTAAACCACTTTAAACAAGGGCAATTGTTTAGAAAATACAAGCTTTTCCAAACTCCCTCCCTAACTTTGCTCACGTAATATGTGGTTGATCCCTTAATATCAATGTGCACAGCACATTTGACTTTGCAGCATGTATTACGATAGATAACTCCTAATAGAATGGTAGAAAAAAATCCAGCAGCGTAAATGAGTCTATGTTGATCTGTAAAGTTTTACTTCATGGAAGGAACTATTTACACTGCTGGACTATAGTATTCTTCATTGAAGAATACTCTTAATTAATTTCAGTGTTCCTCCTGATCTTATGACTGTGGCGTTTGAAAATGACAGTTTATAAGTTATATAACCCTATAGTACAATCACGATACAAATTGTTTACGATACAACGACTTAATATGTTATTCAGTTCTGACTCTAGTGAGCGAATCCTTGAAGCGAGGCAAGTGGACGGCCCTCAGAGGCCGGACTCTCTTCGCTAAGATGAGAAATGATAAATATCAAGTATAGATACCTTCTTGCCTCGCTATCCTATATATATAGTCTTTCAGTCGTTCAGTTCGTGCAAATGTATCAGCTATAGTGCACCAGTGGTAACCAGTGGTAACCAGTGTATCTGTGCTTTAGTAAAGTTCATTTCGAAAGCACCAGCTTGTTTTTATCTTTTCTTAAATCCTATGTAGACACCATCCTTAGGCTTTGAGGTTACCACAGTTTTCATAGCAATCTCCTGCATCTCAGGTCTAGGATCTACGAGAGTGAAATCTTTGAATATTCTGCTAATCATCACCTTCATTTCGAGCATGGCGAAGTGTTTTCCGATACACGACCGGGGGCCAGCCATAAATGGCATATAGGTGAAGGGTTTTATTCGTGGGGCGTCCGGGCTAAATCTGTCGGGGTCGAATTTCATGGGATCAGGCCAAATGTCGGCTCTTCGTTGTACGATTTCTTCGCTCATCATGATGTGGGCCTCTGCAAAACAAAGATTGTTATTTAAGTTAATAAATTTTGACTTTTTGACTGGCTTTTATGCTTTAATCAATAATCATCACATTCAACCTCCTAAGCCTTGAAAACTTAATTTTGGACTATTGAACTCTAGTAACATTTAGATTTCGCTATTTTTGCGACGTCGGGAATATATCGCAAAACTCATAGGTACTTTTTATTATCTGTTTTAAAATCGGTGCATTTTCTAAACATTTAAAACTTTAGATAGAAATGGTTCTTGAATTCATCATTGTTTGACCAAAGCTCTCACATAGTTTGCCGTCCTTTCCTTTTTAATGCCTACCAGCTACCTGCTGATGAAATCATGTCTCCTAATAGATTTCTGTTTATTGTACGTGACGGACTAAATACTTTGAATAGGAACAAGATGTTATATTTTTGAAGACATGCTGCTTGTAGCTTAGCTTAATATGACATGTTAGTGCAGAGTTTGCCGTCGAGTTTCCACCGTACGTGGCATAATATACGACCAGATAGGCCTATTACATGTGATCACACCATTAAATATTAAAGTTAACGGTGTCCTCAGTAATTTTTAGGCACCCAGAAACAATAACATAGTTTGAATGGTAAAACTAATCTTCTAGGTATAATCGCCCAGATCGTCAGTTGAAAAACTGCCCCCGTTTACAATTAGATTAGGACCACAAAACTAGTAAAATTGTTAGAATAAGCCGGTAGTTGAAGTTCCTCTTACTTATACCCTCTCCAGTATATTACAAAATTTTAAGAACTTTCCACTCGCCAAGAATTAAGGAGTCAGAGGAGGAGAGTTGACAGATTAGTTGGTAGAGACTAGTGTTAAACGGACAAATACTGCTGCACAAATGTTAAATATCTGGTCAAATGAAGTCCTCTGAGAACTTCTGTCTTCCATTATAAGAGGTACTAAAAGTAAAATGTACACAAACCTTTGGGTATGTACAACCCGTTGACTGTAGCGGCCTCGTTCCAATTCACTCTCAGGGTAGCTTGAGCGGGTGGGTGTATTCTCATCGTCTCCTTGATACACTGTTCTAAGAACGGTAGTTTGTTGATGTCATCGAATGAGATGCTGTCACCGTCACCAAACGCTTCTTCCACCTGATGAGGGTGGTTACTAGTGGTAACTAGTGGTAACTAGTGGTTACTAGGTGGTAACTAGTGGTTACTAGTGGTAACTAGGTGGTCATTATATGTTAGAATATCGAATCGTTCTTGAAGCTAAACCTACAGTTGGCAATAGTTAGGGATTAGGTGTATTGGAAAGTTTTGATTTGTCGGAGTTCATTAATGTTAAGTTGTGGCTAGAAGTGGTGATGGTTCTGTCACCTGTACCGTCTGTACAACTGATACCACTCAGAAGTTGAAACTAAATGCTTACCTCAGCTTGAACTTTGGCAGATATTTCCGGGTTTTTCATCAAGTACCATAAAACAAGTGCCATGACTATAGCCGAGGTTTCTGTCCCTGCCACCACGAACACGAAGAAGTCGTCCACAACGTCTTCAATATCCAGCTTATCTTGGTAGGAGTTCCCTTTAATGATGTAGTGGAGCATATCTTTGGTGTTATCAGTATTTTTCTTGTCGGATTCTATTTTAGCTTTAAGATGCTTTCTTAGGGAGGATCTGATCATGTCAATATGCTTCTTGAGAGCATCTTTCTCTTTTCTGAAGCACCATGGTAGCGCGAACTTCAGGCAGCACTGGAACTGGAGTTGGGTAGCATAAAATATGTGTTTGAACGCGTCGGTCAGCAGTACGTCTTTAGAAAATATGATGTCATCATTGAGGTTGAATCCACATCTGCAGATTGCCTCCAAAGCGACTTTGATCAAAACCGGGTAGATGTCCAGGTTTTCCTGCTGTTTCGCCTCTTCCAGATACAACGACAGTTTCTTCGCAATATCATTCATTTGTCCGTGTAGGTCCCTTAGCGAGTTCTTGTGGAAGGCTGCGTCCATGACTCTTCTTTTGTGATACCAGATATCAGACCCGATCTCAGTCACCAGACCTCGCTCCCCGAACACCCTGTTACCGTTGATAAACGCTATATTGTCCTTCTTTCCTCCCATCTTGAGGAAAATCCTGTGGTTCATCAGTATTTTTGCTGGTATGTCTTGGTTCAATATGACCAGAAAGTTGATGTTCATGATGAAGAGCACATAGTTTTCCTCTCCCAACTCCTTGCTGATTTCGTTGATGACATCTGTGAAACAGGTTTCTGGACCAATCCTATGGCGAGGGGTAGAGCATGTCCTATGAACCACAGTGGTCCTGCTTGTAACTCAGGTCTGGCTATTCGCTCATATTGTTTCCTTTTGAAGTAGAGGGTTATGTTGAACCAAATGTAGACCAAAAGCAATATGCACAAGACTAGGAGACCGACCAAAAGTATTTTATCTAGCATTACAGACTTTCACAAACGTTGCTAGCATCATGGTCTTCTTGACTTCTCATCCTATTGTCACCTAGGGGATATACAATTACAACAACGAATAATTCAAATAAGATTTTGAGTGCGACTCTAAATTACTGATTACCATTCTTATAAAGACAAAACGAAAACGGCTTATAAAAATGCTGTGTAATCTGACGTACTGACTAATTCAGAAGTTCGGACGGTTTTTACAAAGAAATTCACAAACAAGTCCATGTGTGTAATAGAATCTTTGGAGTGCGAGGATATGAATGATAAATATTGTTTGGAGGTACCCAGTGCAGCCCGGTGGTTCTAAGTACTCATTAATATGAATTATCTGTCCATTTCTTGGAAAGTACCGGCGATATATCTGCTCTTATATCTTTTTGACTCCAATCACGTCCATGTTTTCTGCAAGGCTTCCGTTACATCAACTTAAATTGGAAAATGGAAACACAAGGATGGATTTGGAAATCCAAGCATGACGTGATTGGAAATCCGAGTCTTGGAAATGGTCTGTACATTTTGATGATATGTTCATAGAAAAAGCATGGCTACCAATAAAAAGAGATGAAGACATCTAGCCTACAGAAACAGTACATATACATAACAAAAGGGTGACACATTGAAGGCAGACTAATCCTCTAGGATGGAGATCTCGCTATGTATGTATGTTTGTAAAAATGAAATAACACTGAACATATGAAGAGTCAAGCGAGACTTTATTCTACTTGCAAAGGGAGGTAAATCTTAAAAAACTGTCTTGTACGCAGATAATAATAATAATAAAATCAGTTTGACATCGGTAAAAGCACGCAAATTGCAATTATGAGTTCTTTTAAGGCTGAAGATTCGGATAGAGCCGGAAAATTATTGCATTTCAGATCACGAATTCAATCGCTGAAAATAATATGGGAATGGCTTAGATGTGGTAAATTTTTCCGTAAATTCCTTCCAGAATAGACTATAGAGGCAGCAAGGCGACCTGTCACACTACGTGATGCCACATTAGTTAATTAAACTACAGATAATATGTCAGACCGATTACTGTCTCTCTCTTCCAACCACTGTCAAAAACATTTAAAAAAGCCACGTACGGTAGAATTAATTTAAAAACCGGATTGTTTTACTCAATCGGTATGTTTGAGATAAAATTACGTTCAGGTTTATTCTATATTTCAAATTTTCACCCTATAATTGATACACTTTTAACAAAGCGGATGGAGCCTCAATTGCAAATCAGCCCCGCCCAGTATAAATATCCCACACACCCAGTCCCTTCCCCCAACTATGATAGGGTCAGGTTTCCTTTAAGCATGGTAATCGTATCAGAAGCCCCTTTAGAACTAGGAAGGTATATACTTAACTCTGATATCATGTGGCATCAATGCGATTGAAAACTTAGACTGCAAGGTCGACAGAAAGGCTTTGGAGGGATGACATAATCATCGAATATAATATGTAATTTTTAAAATATGTATAATTGAAAAAGACTTGTAAAATGTTAAAGATCGTGGGATCCATTACTCGTTACACGTCCCATATCGAGATATGAATGATCTAAACTTCTACATATTGATAAATCGTCGATGTAAAATGTGAAGAGAAATAATGCTTGCTAAAGGCGCGCTATTTCGTACGGTAACTGAACGTAAGATGGAGCTAAATAAAGGAGTGAGCACATGTCACGTTGTCACTCAGGAGGGGCGGGGGCGGGAGTGGCTTCGACACTATTGCAACATTGCTATTCCTTAAAGGTAGCTTTGTGTAAAAGTGATCACGGAGAAAGGATGGCTAAAACGTGATTACATAAGATGTGAACGGTCCATAAGAACTATCAAATAGTTTCGATCTAAAGGCTGAAAACAGCTATGTAGTAATGCATGATACATGTTGTTGACTAATAAATGTGCAAAGTGAACTGGCCGAGTGGCCGATGTAACGAAAATTTCCACTGCAGTCAAACCCCTATAAAATACAAGGCCTCTCGGTGGAAACGTAAAGTACACGGCATAGAAACAAAACCCGGTATAGATGATTTCACATGATCCTAGTCTCTGTAGCGTTATTAAATAACTTTTCAAGCGTCTCATATACCTTCATCCTCCATCTCATATACACCACCAAATTCGGTATGAGGCACTATAAATCACATTTCTAGCACAACACGAGCTATTTAACTACAAGGTTGGGGGAAAGAGGATGTACACTGTAAAGAGAGGGACGGTATATAGACTAGAGGTTCGATTGTATTTATAGTTTTTCGACAGGCGACCAATTGCAATAGTTGTTGCTTACTACCCAGCTTTCAGATATGTACTTGTAATATTTGCTTATCACAACGTTTAGAAAACTAACAATAACATTATACTCTTACTCAGCGGAAATTGGATCCAAGCCAAACATTTTTGCAAAATTAAAGTCGGTTTAACTCCAAATAACGGCCATTAGATCTTGTTAGTTCTGGTTGTTGTTTTACAACTCACAGTTTACAGTCATTATTTAACAGTTTACAGTTTACACAGCTTGTGCGACTAGTATCGTTTACAGAACTTACAGTACATGATAGCATCATGGGCCTCATACAGGTGGTATTTAGTCAAACAGAGTAATAATAAGTTAATCAAGTTATAATATCCCCAGAGTGTAGGACGAGTAATTCTTTTTATATAGAGAGGGGAGAGAGGGGCAGTTAAAGGTTTACCCGACCCCGGGTATTCTTATGTACCTGACCCGGAGAGGGGGTCACCAGGAGGACCCATTACATTTCAATAGACATCAAAGAAACGGCAAACACAGGATACAGGACAATGATCTGGTAAATGGATACATATCCTGTCCGTTCTATTTCTGGAGATACAAAATTACCATAAATAGGGGGACCAAAAACAAAACCATCCCGGCATCTGTTTAACATGGGTAAGGGCGATTGAGCGAGATGTCAAAGTTTGACAGATACCCTGCACTAATAACTGAAAGCTAGAGTTTTAATTTGCGGTCACCTGTAGTGTTTTAACTTAACCTCTTGATAGTGCTATGAAACACGGTGCAAGAGCCCGTGAAGAGGACCGTACTGCCGTATTTTAATCAGTGTCAGTTCTTTTTTGGGTCAATTCGCTGGAATTAAAATGTCCGGAAAAACGACGCTCAATACGTCCACTACACTGCGACTCCTTCCGGAGCAGTTCAGAGAAAAGGCAAGCACTGTTGGAGCAACAAAACAACTTTACAGATCTGTACGTGTAGTCGCTAGAGCTGGAAAATGTACAAGTTAGTTCGTACGTGCACGCATAATATCAAGCAGTGAGAACAGTGAGAGCAGCGGGGCTAGCTACTGCAGATCCGGCACTTTCTGAGATAACTAGTCGCAGCACATCAACCATAACACAAACTCCTCCTAACTCGATAACAGTCAATACTGTGAGCTCCTTGCGAGCCGAGTATTTGTATAATTTCGGGTCACGTACGGAGTAAAGACGTACGCACGTGTTGTCAAACCAGCAGCCGGTCAGATAAACTTCACCACATACGGCCCAGCTCCACCTCATACACGGCCCTCCAAGATAAACTCAAACAATGGTCCATATAATTACCTAGTCCATTTCAAGGTTTGTTCACCAGCTGGCAGGTTGTCCTACAGCCCCCACGTACTGAGACAGTGAGGTGGTCTTGGTATGGATTCTTATGGGGAGTAGTTTTACAGATAAAGTTCTCCTCCCATACCACTACCCATTCTATGCCACTTTCAGAGCCTACAGTTCAGCTATAATATTCAATTATGCATTTATTTTTGTATTTTTCCATTTTTATATGCCGTAATTTGGTACATTAATTTAAGTCACTACATATAAGTAATTTGACTTGAGGTGGCGCTCTCTCTCTGTCTCTGCAACGATGCTTTGTTGCGTCAATTACAGAGTCAATAATCTGTATGTGGGGACCTTATATAGAAACTGGTAGTTCTAAATTACAGAGGACGACTGTGGACAATAATTTTAAAGTTTCTGCTTTAAAAGCAGGTCGGCTGGCTTTCAGGGACCAGAATGAAGGAAGATGCTAATTGACATATACTGCAGCTATGAAAGTGTCTGAAGATGCAGCACGTACATGTAAAAAAATAGCAGTTTCTAGAAGATTCTTGCTGTTTTCTAGTTGAGATCAACTAGGATAGACGGAGTTGGTAGACATGCTTCGTGATGTCATCATGGAGACACTGCAAAATCTACAAACATACGGCACAGACGCTTAACAAAGCTGGGGGTCCCTCACTATTTATTCCGAAAATGGCGAAATCAGCGAACTTTGGTAGTCACGTTTTTTTTAACAGGCCCTCGGATTGAAAACAGAGAAGTAAAGACATCTTAATAAATATCAACGTAAAAAAGTCAAACCGGAAAAAACTGAAACTTCTTGAAAAGTTCAACACAATTATTCAATCGCCTCCCGAAAATGTCGTTAAATTCCATGTATGATTTATATGCCCCAGCTCAATCAAATGAAATGTCACCCTTCTCGAATCAGGATAGGAAAATTACCGTCTATAGGGAAATTATGGCCCTCGTACGGTTGTGGGGTACGTGTGACTGAGAGACTGGTAATTAGGATGTAACGATAGATGGGGGCACCCGGCACAGCCGGCAGGATGGGGGCACAACCGGCGCCCACGTTTATTTTAAAGGTTTGGGTTTGCGCCAAGATTTTCTCGTAAATTTCACCAGTCACGGGACACGGAGTATGAAAAAACTAAGTAAAGATATCTGAAACAGCAAGATGGTTACACGTACGATCGTATGAGGGGGCATAATAACGGTAATTTTCTATATGCTAGCCTCAAAATTTCATTTGTGATTTGAAGTAGATAAGTTATTTATAAATACATTACGGTATTCCAGGAATTTAACAAGAATTTCAAACATTCTATTCATAGATCATTCTATTCATAGAGCAAGGGTAGAAGTATCACGGCTACTTCTCGGACATTTCAGCATTTTTTTACCAGAGTTTGATTTTAAAATGGAAATAAGAGACCTGACATGGCGAAATGGTGCACCTTATCAATAACTTCTATTAAGACACCATAAAAAGTTATACTTAATATTTGATTTTCTATTACTATATTTACAGTACCTACAGCTGTACGCTGTGATAGTAGGTAACTAGTATGTTGGTGATGATTGAAACAGTTATGATAATAGAACCAAGCCGAATGCAATAACAACCAATAAACTGT